AGAGCACAAATAAAATATTTCCTACTGTCATCTTCCTCTGAACTTCATACATAACACGAGTTGGATGAAGAGGAAATCTTTCCAAGATAAGCAACCCAGAGTAGGGGCAGATCTTGTTATTTTAAACATAGAACAAACACAAGGGCATCTTTGTTCCCAGGATCAAGGAGAATCAAGGAAACTCTCACTACTTGGTACCAACTCTGACACATCGCATCTCAGACTAAGCCTAAAAGGGAGTGCTGCCTAGGGTAAAGGGGGTAGCCAGTAAACCCTCCGCACCCGACACTTCATCCTGCCCCAGGAACGGTGGGGTAGCAGGGTCTTCCCAGTATCTGGCTCCTGCCTGCCAGCCTTCTCACCATTTCTGTCTTCCCACTTTCTCTGCAGGGCCATAACATATGTATATTTTAGGATGAAGTCATAGACACAGTTTGTATAAATTACTGTAATCAATCCAGGATCATTAATTGCATTTCAATTAAGGAGCATTTACCTTTATTCTTTTTTTTTTAAAAAAAAAGATTTATTTTTATTATTTTTTTATTGGAAAGCCGGATATACAGAGAGGAGAGACAGAGAGGAAGATCTTCCATCCGATGATTCACTCCCCAAGTGAGCGCAACGGCCGATACTATGCCAATCCGAAGCCAGGAGCCTCTTCCGGGTCTCCCACACGGGGGCAGGGTCCCAAAGCTTTGGGCCGTCCTCGTCCTCGACTGCTTTCCCGGGCCACAGGCAGGGAGCTGGAAGGGAAGCAGGGCTGCTGGGATAGAACCGGCGCCCATATGGGATCCCAGGGCATGCAAGGTGAGGACTTAACCACTGTGCCACCACGCCGGGCCCACCTTTATTCTTGAATAACGTAGCAGTTGTCTTATAAAGACAATAATCATAAGGAACAAAAGACTTAAACTGACTACTATCCTATCCCCAGGGAGGACTAGTATATTGTAACACTGAGAATCATATATGTGCACACATGCACACGCATACATGCTGAGCTCTTGGCTTTTATGGGTAAATGTGCAATCACACCTATTCTGGCACCTTCAAAGGCCATGTGCAGATGTAGCTTTCAGTCTGGAGCGTGGAGCACATCACCAGGTGGATGAGCCTGATGAAGTGAGCACCCAGACCTCTGAGGTTCGCTTTAAAACCCTGAGAGTTAAACTGGTTCACTCACAATATACATGTGAAGAAAATGACTTGAACTAACAAATGGGTGGAAAGAAAAAGTGGCACTCATACAAAGTCAGGAGGCCAGAGTCACCCTGGGCTCACCCTCGAGTGTGCAGGAGTTCCTTCCTTCTGTTTATTTTTTTCTGTCCCTCCCACTCCAGATTTCTGTACTTTCTCTTGCAAACACCTAATGCTGGCCTCTCACTCCCCCAAAGAAAGTGCATCTCGATCCCATTCTCCAAGGAAAGACAGCTTCTCGTCTCCGTTTCAGAGTGTAACAGAGTGTGGCAGCCCTTGTTGCCTGCAGTCTGCGAACTGCCACCCCTGAGTCCTGTCAATGGGTCCAGCAGTGTCTTGTAGGTTAGTTGTCCTCAGGTGGGGTTGAGGACATGGTGAGCGTGCTGACCCTCAGACTGCTCAGTCAGGTACCTTGTCTAACGGGATAAGGTAACCTGCCGCCTTTAGCCTCACAAAGCAGATGAAGTTTCAGTTCCAGTAGTTTTTGGCCAAGATGTCCGCATTCTCATTTGGTGCCCCCCTCTCTGGTCCTACGAAGCAGAGATTTGCTCAGCACGATATCGTCCATCATCTGCACCCATGTCCCTCATTTCAGTGCCCAACTGTGCCACCCATAGCTCTGGTGGACCAGCGTTTCTGTGGGGGCTTTCTAGCAGTAGAAATAGTAGCAGAGCACAAAGTTCAGGAAAATGAGCCTCCTTTGGATGTAGAAGTTTTGACCTTGCAATTTTCCAGTCTAATACATTTTCACTCTGTAATCGTGAACTATTTTATTAAAACTCACAATTGGTAAATCTTAGTTCAGAAGTTAGTCATCAAAGCAAGATCTTTTGAGCTAGTGTTTGTGCATCAATCATTTATCTAGCACATATAATGCTCTCCATTGCTGCTCCGCTGAATTACTTTGTAGAAGATGGAGTGATTTTGATACCACACTCACTCCCTTCCTCCACAGGTACTGAATATGCTTTAGTACATTGGGCTGACAAGAAGAAAATGCAGCAGGGCTCGAGGGTTACAGAGCCGTAACCTGCTCCCCCTGCTGAGATCTGGTTCCTTCTCATTGCAAAGAAAGCAAAGCAAAGCTGCATGTTTTTTCTTTTTTAATATTTAATTTTTATTGGAAAGTCAGATATACAGAGAGGAGGAGAGACAAAGAGGAAGATCCTCTGTCCACTGATTCACTCACCAAGCGACCATAATGGCTGGAGCCATGCCAATCCAAAGCCAGGAGCCTGGAGCCTTCTCTAGGTCTCTCACGTGCGTGCAGGGTCCTAAGGTCCTGGGCCATCCTCGACTGCTTTCCCAGGCCACAAGCACAGAGCTGGATGAGAAGTGGGGTGGCTGGAATTAGAACCGGCGCCCATATGGGATCCCGGCATGTGAAAGGCAAGGACTTTAGCCTCTAGGATACTGTGATGGGCCCTGCACATTATTTCTTGCTGTCAGGGCCTGCTGACCACAGCTGTGTAAAGTGATGAAAATCTCCTGTATGTCAGTCCCATCTTTCCTTTTCCAGTCAAGGACAACGTTGTAATGCAAGCTGTGCTGTTCCAAATTGCAGTGACTCACAAACATCAACTGACTTCTACCGGAGGGTCCAGAGTAAGTCAATACTTCCATACCTGCAGCCACCCATGGTGATGGTGGGTTTTGTTTTGGGGCCAGGGAGGGTTGGGCAAACTCGAGTCCTATGTAGAAATATTCCATGGAGGCAACAGCACTCCGTCTCCCCCTGCAGGGATGCAGTGAAAGAATGCCTCGTCCCCCTCCTTTTCTGAAATAAAAAAAACTGACATTAAATGTTTTCAAAATGCTTCCTACAAATTGGAATGCTTCCCAGTGGAAACAGCCTTCTGTCTCTCACTGTGGTCATCTTAGTCCTTTGCTTAGTTCTACTGAGTGAGTGTACAGCAGGGAAATAGCAAGTGTTGTATTTTAAAAGATTTATTGAAAGGCAGAGACAGAGAAGGTAGAAGAGAGAGGAATGAAGGGAAAGCAAAGTGTACATATGCAATGGCTACAGCTGGACCAGTCTGAAACCAGGACCCAGAAAGGCAAAGCACCTGGACCATTTTCTTTACTGCTTTCTCAGGTGCTTTTAGCAGGGAGCTAGATCCCAAGTACAATAGCCCAGACATCCACTGGTATCTATATGGTAAGCCAGGATTGAAGGCAGCCACTTAGCCCTCAGTTCACAATGCTGGCACCTATTTACTACAATTTGAAATGGATCTTTGTGGGCCCAGCGCCGTGGCCTGGCGGATAAAGTCCTCACCTTGAATGTGCCTGAAATCCCATATGGGTGCCGGTTCTAATCCTGGCAGCCTGCTTCCCATCCAGCCCTCTGCTTGTGACCTGGGAAAGCAGCCGAGGACTGCCAAAAGCCTTGGGCCCCTGCACCCATGTGGGAGACCTGGAGGAAATTCCTGGCTCCTGGCTTCGAATAGGTGTAGCACCAGCCATTGCGGTCACTTGGGGAGTGACTCTTCAGACGGAAGATCTTCCTCTCTCTCTCTCCTCCTCTATCTATATATCAGATTCTGCAATAATAAAAAAAAATCTCAAAAAAAAAAGAAACGGATTCTTTGTGAAAAACTCAGAAATTCAGATTCCTGTGTAGCTTATTTATCAACGTCAAAGCCCAGCAGAGCTCAGTAACAAACTCTGTGTGTTATTTTCATTGTTCTGTTTTGTGTGGAGTGTTTCTGCTGGTGATGTTACAATTTGCACTTCAAAACTGCACAGGGCAGTTACAGAAAGCAGCTTCTCCCTTTCCACTTGAGCCAGAGGCAGCAGCTGAGCCATTTCTATGCTTGGGCCTTTCTGGTGTGTCAGCCTGTGCTCACAGCAAGGCGCACTGCCTTCCAGGGCAAGCCAGGTTCTTGCCTTTCTCCAGCACTAGGAATCCCCACAGGGAAGAGACTTGTGTCTCTGCTCAAACCCAGTACCGACCAGCACTCTGTCAACGCTTGTTAGCTGGAAGAAACGGCACTGACACATTTCCCTCAACAGTGAGAGATCCTTACGTTCTAAATATGTAACAATAAAGCCAACTCACCCAAACTGTTAAAGCAATCCCACGGGGACCCCAGTGCAGTGGAAGGTAACCCCAGCAGGACCCTAAAGGGGGGCAGATTGTAACTCCAATGTGACCCTAAAGGGGAAAGGACACCTACCCCAGTGGGACCCTACTGCCATCTAACAGTGGAAGCGGAGAAGCTAACTTAACCAAAACTCTGCTGCAGCACCGGGCACAGCACGCCCAACAGAGGAGACTGACGCTGCTCCGTGTGCTTAATTTGAAAAAATAAAAATAAAAGGGGGGGGGACTAAGAATAACACGGAAAACGGGGTTGGGGAGGGGAGATTGCGACTCCTCCTCCGACCTCCCTCCTCCCCGCGGCGATGAATGGGAGGGAGCGGCTTCCTCCGTTCCCCCAGAGGCTCCGGGCAGGGCTCGGACCGCTCGGAAACCTTTCCCGGCGTTTTCCTCAACACGCCACAGGCAGCGCAGGCGGCGAGGCGGCAGCGGGAGCGCCGCGCGGAGGCTCCTCCTGTGCCCGGCGGCCGCACACCGCTCCGCTTCCGCCACAGGACGCAGCGCAGGCCCGAGGGGCGGCGGGGCCAGAGAGGGCTCCGCGCCCCCGCGCGTCCCCGCCGCGCCCCCACGTGCCGGCGACGGGCCCCGCCGCCAGGCCCCGCGCGCGCGCCCAGGCAGCGGCCCGGTGCGCGCAGAGCAGCCGCGGCCCGTGGCGCCGGCGCGGCGGGGCTGCGGAGGGGCCGGGCCCGCCAGAGGTTTGTCCTCGCGCGAGCGCCGTCCGCGGCCGGCGCCGGAAGCGCGCGATGGGCGAGACCGTCTCCAAGAGGCTGAAGCTGCAGCTGGGAGGCGAGGCCGAGATGGAGGAGCGGGCGTTCCCCAACCCCTTCGCGGACTACGAGCCCGCCGCCGCCGCACTCGCCTCCGCGGCGGCCGAGGGCACCGGCTGTGCTCGGCCGCCGCCCACCGCGGACGAGCCCAGCCTGCCCTTCCACCCCGACGGGAAGGTGAGCAGGGCCCCGGCGGCTGTGGGCGTCGCCTGGCCGCGTCCGCGCGCGCCACGGGCGTTGGGCTGCGCTCCCGCGGACGTTGGGCCTCCCGGCTGCGGCGCGTGGCGCCCACGCAGGGCGCTGTCCAGAGTGGCGCGGGTGCAGCGCTGGCCCGGGTGCCGCACCCTGGGCTTGTTAGCCCCACCCTGGGCTCTGAGGCGCAGGGCACCCCGCTGTGAGCCCTGGGTGTCCGCGGCCGGGAGTGGGTGCAGCGCGGCTGAGGAGAGCGGAGTCCGAGGGGAAGCCGGGCGTCAAGACAGGCGGCCGCGGCGCCGCGTCTTGCGGGTGCTGCCCTCAGTGGAATGTTGAGGTTAAGGCACAGAGCCGAGGTTGTTGGCAGAGGGGGTCTGCAGGGGAGCCCCCAGGCCTCTCCGAGTGGATGCCCAGCTGCGGCATCCCACGGCATGGCGAAAGGAAGGCCCCGCGGTATCCTGAAGCCAGGCACCTGCCTCTCACTGGTGGCCCGAGGCCGGGAGAGGCTGCTGCCTTGCGGCTGAAGGCGGCGAGAACCGGCCGCTACACTTGGGTCAACCTGTTCCTTGATTACGTGAGGTGCAGGGGCTACTCCTGGAGCTGAGCGAGTTAGGGCGGTGTTGTGTTGTTTTTCAAGTGCTCTTAGTGCAGAATAATCCGTGGCCAAAGCTGTGTGATTCTGGCACCCGTTTGGGGCATCTGGATAAGTGCCCGGTTGGAAAGAGAGCCTTGCAGATGGGGATCCAGGTATCCAGGTGTGCGTGCGCTTGCGTGCGTGCTTGTTGATCCAACCTGCTGGCCTCTGAGATGGTGCCCAGGGTTGCGCACTGTTTTGTGTTTGAAAAGGGAAAAGTTGCCCCAAGTAAGAAGGGGATTTTGAAACAGCCTTAGGTTGGAAAATGTGACCCTAGGCAAACAGCGTGTCTCAGTTCTGTTGGTTCTTCCACGTGGTTAAAAGCAGGTTTCCTGCCCCGCAGGGTATCAGTGCATCTGATAAGTGGGTCACTTGCCTGCAAACCCCCTGGTGTCTGTAGGACTTCATTAAATGTCTCTTCAGTCGTACTGCTCTGAATTCATTGGTTTTCCTCCAAATTTCTACCATTTTCATATGCATAGGTCTGTTATATTTGATCTCTCTCTAGCAAATGTTTAAATATCCGTCATTCATTCTCATTACTCGTTGCTGCCTCTGTACTGTCCTTGGAGTGAGGGGCCAGGGCAGTGTCCTGTGAAAGATGGATGAATGAACTTGGGGCAGTCGCCCCAGGTGGTGCTAGCCACCAGGTGAACAGGGAAGGCATGTGAGGCTCTAGAGCAGTGCTTTAAGCATCGCAGAAGGAGGTAAACGCTGGCTCGTCTCAAAACGTTCTGGAATTGTTTATCTCCATTTTATATTCAGATGTAATTTCTAATTTATTTGAAAGAGTTACAGAGAGGGAGAGGCAAAGGGAGAGAGCCCCATCCACTGGTTCACTCCCCAGATAAGCACAGCAGCCTAGAATAGGCCGGACCAAAACTGGAGCCTGGCATTCTATAAAGACACAGTAACAGGACCTGGATTTAAAGTGGAGTAGGCAGGACTCCAGCCAGCACCCATATGGAGTGCCATGTAACAGGCAATGGCTTAAGCATATGCACCACAGTGCTACCCCTACGTTTAAATTTTTTTAATGTTAGGAATAATGTTAAAAAATCATTTGTTCTAATGGACATGAAATTGAGGATTTTGTGAGTTGAATTGTGTCATCCTATATTCCAGACTGATCGAAGTTCTCACTGTTAGTTGATAAAGACTACTTAAAATCTACCAATACAGTGAGAGCTTGTTACTAAGTATTCTCTCGGTCACTCACTTTATCTCGTTGTAGTTGAGCTGTGTAAGTGTGTGCCCTGGTCTTCTGACCCACTCTCCAAGCTCTGACTCCTACTTCTTCTGGAAGGAGACTTTTGTGACATCTTTCACAGTGTTAGTCCAAATATGAAAAGCAGTGGACCAGTGTGGTAGTGGTTTTACTTGAGCAAGGGTGTCTGCAGCTGTTTACTAACAGTCATTCTCTCTGTTCCTTCAGGATTTGGAGGCTGTCTACTTCTCGGCAGTTGTGCTGAGCTCTACCAGGTTGTGTGTAGCTGCAGCCTTCGGATGTCGGAATGCAGTTCTTTGGCTAGCTCTATATCAGCTTTATCGGCTGCATCCTCGCAGCCGCATGCAGAGCCTCATGGAGTGATTGGAACTTCATGTTAACCAGGCTGAGACTGGAGCTGTGAGATTGTCTTATAGGAGGGAAAGGGAGCTCAAAATGTTAAGGAACACCAGATGCCTTGGGGCGAGAGGGCACTCTGGGGAATGCTTGTCAGGTCTCTGTTGCCAGGTAGAAACTCTCGCACCACCGTGCAGGCACAAGCTGTCTCACACGGCATGAGAGTTAGCTTAGCTCCTGGTTGTGGCTGTGGGTGTCTCATACAGCCACAGTTGTAGGAAGGCTGACTGGCAGTAGAATCATTTTTACATTCATTCTTGTGGTGGTGGCCAGTGTCATCAACCGTCCTTACCCTCAGGTTCTCACCACACAGGTCTCTGGGTGTGGTGCCGTGTGATATAGCTGCTGGCTCTCCCAGAAGACCAGATATTCTTGAGCACCAAGGTAGAAGCTGCAGTGGTGTCATTCCTTCTCTGTTCTGTTAATCAGAGCAGGACAAGGAGTACATCTGGCCTGTATGGCTACACAGAGTCTTGATGTTGCCTGGAGGCTTCTGCTGTGATGCTACACTGTGGGGGCTTGCTAGAAGTGAGCCCTTCAGAGCTGTGCAGTGTGTGTTACAGTGAGACTATGTCAGGAGTAACAGTCTGGCACAGGAGAAGAAAGAGGATGATGTATTTGGGTGGTCCTTGAAGGACATGGCAGAGACTTGGAAGCATAGCACTGCATCATGAGATAGAATGTGAAAGGACTGGAGAAGATGGCACTGGAAAGGCAGCGCAAGTTGCAAGTTCTGAGGAACTCAGTTTAAAGTATTTTATGAAGAAAGTAGAGTCAGGAAGACTTTGCCTTGGTGTGTATAATTGGCATAATCTGGAGACATTTGAAATGCTTTAATAGTTTAAGGTTTATTTGTTGGAAAGGCAAGGTGGCACAGAGAGAATCGTCCATCTACTGGTCACTTCCCAGATGGCCTCAACAGCTTGGGGCTGTTGCAGGTCAAAGCCAGAAACCTGGGATTGTCTCCCACATAGGCTTCAGGGTCCCAAGAACTCGGGTTGTCTGCTGCCTTCCCAATTGCACTAAAGGGAGCTGGGCTGAGTGGAGAAGCAGGGCCTGAACCCTGGCAGTTTAAACCAGCACTCCAGTATGGGAGTTCAGTTAATGGTAGCTACTAATTGTTACACATACTATTTTTTATATAATAAGATAGAATGACAGTCTCTCAGCTTTCTATTATCTGTGGAGTACAGAAACATTACTTTCCACATGCTTAGGGAAATGCTTTACCTTCTCTGCCTCCCTCTGGAGATGAGAGAATTGGGGTGCAGGTGCATATGAGCATATCTCAGATTGCCAGCACTTGTGGATTTATAAATCCCATCCCACAACCTTCCTCACCTGCTTCATCATGGATGGTCAGGGAACAACCAGACCCCTTGAGATGTCCAGTTGTACCAAATGCTGTTGTCCACCCCAGCCTCAGCAGAATTTCACCTTGCATTTGTTGTGGGGCTTTAGGTTCACACATCAGTGCTTGAAACCTCCAACAGGAGCTCTGACATTTAACTCATGAGTGCCAAGGGCTCACCAAGATTTTCATTTATCTCCCCTGCTCATTTGTTGACAACATGATTGTTTTAAAATGGTTGAGTTCTTACTTATAAATATCCCCAGTGCTTGCTGCTAAGCTAGGATCATAGCAGTGTCTTAAAAAGAGGCCACAGCATCCATGAATTGATTGCCTTTACTTAATTTTAAGTTATCTTAATTTTGAATGACTAGGAGGGTTCTTTTTTAAAGATTTGTTTATTTTACTCGAAAGAGTTACAGATAGAGAGGAGGATATATAGAGAGATCGCGATCTTCCATCTTCTGGATCATTCCCTAAATGGTTGTGAAGGCCCAGCTGGCAATCTGAAACCAGGAGCCCAGGTTGTGCCCCAGTGGGGGCACATGCGGGTTGAACTACCAGTTATAGCTACAGTATCCAGCTAGTCATAAACATTCTTAAAAGTCTTTTTTGCAAAATCAGGAAAGCCCAAAATACCTTTGATCCAATCTGGTTTTTTTTAGCAACATTACTTCTGAGGTTGAGAATGTCAAGGATTCCTTAGTCCTGGCTTTGAAGAAGCCAGCTGAATGAAAGTCAGTGCTGTTGTCTTTGGAAGCCTGAGTGCTTGGAGAGTATGCTAGGATGTGCACACCGGGAAGCTTGAGTCGGCTGAAGCATAATTTTAGTGTTTGGGACAGTTGGGTAAAACTTTCATTGTGGTTGGCAGCTTTCTAGTCCAGGTCTGTGGCTGTCATCCTGTAAAGGCAAACCCCATAGGCTGGTGACTAAAGGCTTCACTTCAGTTCAAGGATTGAGTGTCACTAGGTTCCTATGAATTATATTGATAGTTGTTCACAAGTCTTGTAGAAAACACCAACTCCTGCAGACTGGAAGGGTTCAAGCATTGTAAGAGCCTTTCTTGTACGTAACCATTCATTATTGGTCAAGTTCCCTTCATAATGCTTGGTGTTAGGGAATATATTTGGCAGGTATGTCAATGCTTTATTGGCATAGTTATGAGTCTTCCCGGTGTCTGGGGCAGAAGTTGGAAGGGTTGGAGGTTATGGAGACCAGGAATGGCTGGGCAGAGTTTGCAGTGAGTTAAAGCATTAAATCCAGATTGGAGCAATTCCGTTGCATTGGAGTTAGTGCTGTTTTTATTTCAATGTGTTCTTTTTCTTATTCCTTCAGATTCATTTCTAGGACCATGCTACATGCCCCTATTTTAAGAGAGATTCCTTTTTAGAAGTGTTTAACACTTCATTTTTTTACTTTTTAAATAATCTTTTTTATTATTATTACCATCATCCTGCGATACAGCTCTATAGGCCCTGGGATTTCCCCTACCCTTTCCCCAAATCCCCTCCCCCACTGAGTTCCCCCATATCATTACAACAGTATAGTTCCTCACAAACAGTCATAAGTCCATCATTGCAGGCATGGACAATGGCAGAGTCCAGTATCCCATTGTCATGACACGTCCTACAGTTTCACTGGGAGTCCATGCTCGATCCGGAAGTAGAGATGCACGCTGCACCGTATCCTCACATCTGGACATGTCAGTCTCCACTACAGTCACTGTAAATCCCCCCAAGTAAAAAGGCATGAAACAAAATCAACAATAGGAAGAAAAAATAGGAACTTACAGCACCATGAAGTTAAACAACATGCTACTGAATGACTAATGTGTCGCTAAAGAAATAAAAAAGAAAATCAAAAACCTTCTTGAAGAGAATGATGCTATTGTATAATCTATGTGTCAGTGAAGAATTTAATGAGAAAAAATATTTTGAATAAATGAAACTAAAAACATAAAAATCTATGAAATGTAGTTTCTGCTGATCTTTGTTGGTGAAATGTATCCTGTAGGCAACAAATAGATGAGTTTTTTAAATACAGTCTATAATCTACAACATTTGATTAATATGTTTAAGGTGGTAATTTGTTCCTGTCATTTTAAAGGATTTAGGTGTTGTACCAAGATGTATGGTAGAGGAACAAGCCGGAGAGAATCAGGACTGTTGTAAGTTCTCAGTCAGGATTTGCATGATCAAGTCTGGTGAGAAAGCCCCTCAGTGCAGTTACTCTGGAAAAGGGTCAGTGCAGCCTTCGAGACTGAGAACACAGAACTGTAGTGTCAGTATTAGCAATTGGAGAAGCTCCGCCCGTTTCTGATTTCCCTGTGTTGTCTAAGCTTTCTGCCATCCTTTTTAAAAGTGCCTGGGTTTTTTACAGTGATAGGAAATTCCTCTTAGACATCAGCTTTTTTGGCTGTTGGGTTGTGGAAGCTATGGATTTATGATTTTGGAAGCCTTGTTCTGGAGATTCTTCAGATACCAGTCAGTGACTGATGGGATTCTGGGTTTGAGTGTTCAGCCAAGTGACCGAGTCATCCTTGTAGGAAGCTGGACGGAACTACAGTTCAGGTGAGCTTCATTTTGATAATTGGCTTCAGCCATTCCAGAATGTCATTTGAACGCTTTCTCAAAACATTCATCACAGCTTTGGTTAGATTTGGTCTATATTCTTGGATCTTATTCCACTCGTTAACATTTTCAAATGTCTGAGCTGTGGCCTTATAAAGATCCTTTGCCACCTGGCAGTTGTCAGTTTGTTCTGCGTTAATGACTTTGTCAAAACCCTATAGCAGGTTATTTCCTTTCAGTCTCCTCAGAGACTAACATGGCTGGCTAGTAAATATCAGAGAATCCTGCCTTGTAAGTTTGAATGTTTAAATCAGATTCTTTAGCAAGGCCTGTAGGGTCCTGGGTCTCCACACACCTGTCCTCTCCTGTTTCCCGGGATTGTAGCTTCTCGCCATTCAAATACAATGAAATCTCTCCAGAACCTACAAAGTTGAGGATTTTAAAGTAACTCTTATAAATACACTTTTTTTAAAAAAAGATTTGTTTTTATTAATTTTTTTTATTGGAAAGCCGGATATACAGAGAGGAGAGACAGAGAGGAAGATCTTCCGTCCGATGATTCACTCCCCAAGAGAGCTCAACGGCCGATGCTATGCTGATCCGAAGCCAGGAACCTCTTCCGGGTCTCCCACGCAGGTGCAGGGGCCCAAAGCTTTGGGCCGTCCTCGACTGCATTCCCGAGCCACAGGCAGGGAGCTGGAAGGGAAGTGGGGCCGCCGGGATAGAACCGGCACCCATATGGGATCCCGGGCATGCAAGGTGAGGACCTTAACCACTGCACCACTGCGCCACCGAGCCGGGCCCCTTATAAATACACTTAATGAAATAGAATATCCTTTCAGTGAATGAAAAATTAGGAAATCTACAGGGAAGTAGAAACAAAGAATCATATAGTTTGATATTAATAAATATGAGGTCTTGGGGGCCAATGATACTCCATGTTGGAGCTCCAGTTCCGATCGGATTTTCTGTTCATGTGCCGGGGAAGGCAGCAGATAATTGCCCAAAAACCCAGAGGGAGCTTCAGACTGCTGGCTGTCACCTGGCCCAGCCCTGAGCAGTGGCCATTGGGTGTCACGCAGCACAAGGCAGATCTCTTTCCATGTCTCCCCTCTCTCTGTCACTGTGCATTTGAAATAAATATTTTTCTAAAAATAAATGCAGAAGCTCTTCAAAAAGTTAATTTGGAGCCCAACACGGTAGCCTAGCAACTAAAGTCCTCACCTTGCACTTGCAGGAATCCCATATGGGTGCTAGTTTTAATCCCGGTGGCCCCAGTTCCCATCCAGTTTCCTGTCTGTGGCCTGGGAAAGCAGTAGAGGGTGGCCCAAAGCCTTGGGAACCTGCACTCGCGTGGGAGACCCAGAAGAGACTTCAGGCTCCTGGCTTCTTATCAGCACAGCTCCAGCTATTACATCCGCTTGGGGAGTGAATTGGCAGACAGAAGATCTTCCTCTCTGTTCTCTCTGTATATCTGACTTTCCAATAAAAAAAAAATAAGTCTTAAAGAAAAAAGTTAATTGGAAACACATTCTGAAAAAATGGAATGTTTCCTCACGCTAGAGGAGCCTGTCAGCTGTAGGTTGCAGGTGAATTCCTGAGGTTCAGTGAAAGCGGCTGTGAAAATCCTCACAGTGCGGAAACATAAAAGCATTTTCTCTGCAGTTCCATACAGGGAATTCCATTGTGTAAGTCGATAATTTGTCAGAAAGAGGTAAGAGTCTTAAATTTGTGCCTAGTAATAGAACCTCAAAGTACATGAAGGCAAAACCAAAGGCAGAAGTGAAGGTAGATAAACTTTGCAGCTGCCATCGGTGCAGTTCTCGGCCGTTCACACAGCAGCCTAACACTGAAGAACTCTGCATATTTCTCTTGGAAAAGAGCAGCAGCAGTTAGAACTCCTTTCTGCTTTGCTGCTAGAAGCCTTGGGACTTGAAAAAAAAGTCTTCTTTGTTAATCTAGTATGAAAACATTTTCACTGGGATTTCCTCAAATCACTGTGTCCCACATTGTTGCCCTTGTATGAAAGTATATGAATAATTTTGTGTCTATCCCTGTATTGTTAAATTATTTTGTTAGATTTCTGATACAGTATGCAAATGATTCCCCTGTATCTTTTTTCTTTTCTTTTTTTGTACATTTTATTTGAGAAGCAGACAGACACAGCCTTCATCCACTGTTGACTCCTCAGATTCCTACACTGCCAAAGCCTTGAATTCTGTCAAGGTCTTCCATATGGGTGGCAGGAACTCAATTGCTACCTGCTGAGTCTGCACTGTAGGACCCGGCATCAGGGGCAGAGTTGGGCATGGAACCAGGGTTCTCCAATGTGGGACCAGGCATCTCAAATGCTAGGCTCAGCACTGCTCCTGCAAGTTCCGATGGTCCTACTGAGGAGTTAGAGTTCATGCGAGCATTCTCTCATTCGGCCCTGAAGAAGCACCAAGAGGGATCGGGGAAAGAACTTCTACCCTTGTTGTCTGTAGAGCTTAGACTGTCAGTTAAAGTGTTTACTGCAACGTTATGCTTTTCTTGTACAATTTAAAGTTGTGTCTTTTGATCCTTAGATCATTCAGAATTTCACAAGACAAATCCAGACCAAAATCAAAGATCTTCTACAGCAAATGGAAGAAGGCTTGAAGACAGCTGATCCCCATGACTGTTCAGCATACACTGGTTGGACAGGTGAGCCTGTGAGGTGTCGGCCACCAATGTGGTTTACCTGTGTTAGGAAAGCATTTCTCTTAACAGTGAAGTTTGGTCCCCTTTAGGTGAAATCTTAAATTGTGTCATTTCTGATGAGATGCTTTGGAAATTTGTTTCTAATTAAATGCTTTCTCCTGAAAGTTGAACTTTAGTATGTAGTGTGTCATATCTTAGTGTGATGTTGATTTAACATGAAAATGTGCAATAAAAGTAGACTGGCCCAAGGATCAGTTTCCTGCTGTAGTTTTATGGGGTTTTGTCTGACAGTCTCAGCGGCTTCTCTGGTCAGTCCTTGGACTGCTAACTGTGCTGCTTGTGATCATTTGGCCCGTTTGTCTACGCTAAGGGGTGTTGTTTCTGTTTGGATTACAGTCAAGTAAGCTGCTCATAGTTTCAAGCTATCACTTGAAAAACCTAAGTTCAGAATTAATTTGTCTACATCAGTATTTTTTGTTTAATTAACTCATTTATTTGAAAAGTAGAATTAAGAGGGACCCAGCACAGTAGCCTAGTGGCTAAAGTACTCACCTTGCATGTGTTGAGATCCCGTATGGGTACCAGTACATATCCTGGCTACTACACTTCCCTTCCCTGCTTGTGGCCTCAGAAAGCAGTAGAGGACAACCCAAAGCCTCTACCTGGGTGGGAGACCTGAAAGAGGCTCCTGGCTTCTGACTTTAGATTAGCTCAGCTCTGACCACTGCAGCCACTTGAACAGTGAATGGATGATCTTTCTCTCTGTCTCTCCTCTCTGTAAATCTGCCTCCCCAATAAAAATAAGATAAATCCTTACCAAAAAAATAATAATAATAAGGGGAGGAAGGAAGGAAGAAAAGCAGTTAGAGAGAGAGAAGAGGAGAGAGTCAGGGAGAAATTTTCATCCCCTGATGACTACAATAGACACAGTTGGGCCGAGCTGAAGTCAGAAATCAGGAGCTTTTTCTGGGTCTCCCATATGAGTAGCAGGGGCCCAAAGTAGTTGGGCCATCCTTTGCTGTTTTCCCAGGCACATTAGCAGGGAGCTGGATTGGAAGTGGAGCATCTGAGATGTAAACCAGCACCTGTTTGAGATGCAGACATCACGGGTAGTGGCTTAACGTACTGTGCCACAATACCAGCCCCTGTACCAGTCTTTATATTATGCCACTGGGCCTGGAGTCAGAGTACTATGTATAGAAAAACGAAAGGTTAACAGCAGGTCTTGTTCTCGGAGCTCAGACTGAAATCAGATGACATTCTAAGGACAGTTTAGGTGTGAATTTGGAGACTTTGCTGCAGTATTTGAATTATTTTTCCCTGTTATGAATACTGTATATATTAGAATTAAATATTTCAAACTTAAAGACTGAGGAAGACATGGAGCCAGTCCACTTACAAGCAAAAGAAGTGTATGCTAAATGTAAAAAACACAAACCATAAGGAAAGATACCACAAATATGGTAGTTCCTTTTCTCCCAAGACATCTTTTACTGAAATTGTTGGCTTGTTGAAAAGAGGTTTTAACTCACTTGCTAGGTCCCAGACTGGTGTGAGGTCATTTGAGAGCTTCATTAAACTAAGGCTACTTCCATTGGGAACCCTGGGCTGGGAGTCTGAGTCTCTTACCTGGACCTGTCTGCTGCCGTCCTAGGGAGGTGTAACACTGTGGGATTTCAGGTAGAATCCATACCGGGGCTGTGTCACGTGGTGGTAAGACCCAGGTGGCTGTGACTGTGGCTCTCAGGGCAGCTTTCCTTCCATGGCAGATGCAGAACAGGGTGTTTGTCCTGTGGGAATAGAGACATGGAAAAGTTGGAAAAGCTGATGGATTGAAAGATACCCAGTTATTTGAAGTCGCTTTTTTTCTAAGAGCACAAGGAATTCCCTGTGACTTTAAGTCAGCTGGTGTCTGTCTTGAGAAAACACTCCTTTGTCTGGAATTGTCCCTGTCTTTGGGGTTGCAGTTACATGGGACAACATTCACAAATGATTCAACTTCAATTTGGGTTGGTCAACTGGACCTCAGGTAGGCCGTTTGTAGCAGGAAAATTTAAAGCAGAATCACAGAGGTGCTGCCAGCAGGTGCAGTGTGAATGAGTCAGACCACTGTGCAAGGCCAGGTATAAACGGCCCACCATGCCTCAAAGAGTTTTGTTTCCAGGAGCTCTTATATGCCTTCCCAGTGAATCTTACAGGAAAGTTACCTGGGAAGAGAATCCATGTGAGACACAGCAGAGCAGCACCTGTCCTTGGAAGAAGCTGCTTTACCAGGTCTAGCAGAGGAAGGGAAAATGAACCCAAATGGCTGGGCTCATTGTGGTTCCGAGGCATTGGCTGAGGTTCACAGGGGACTGGGACCTAACCGCCCATGGGCTGTGGCTGTGCCTCTCCCAGCCCCACACAAAGCCTAGCACTGCCCTGGCAGGCTTGTTTGCCACAGTCCCTGCCAGCAAGTGCAACACGCTCACCCTAAAGCAGTCTGTCACTTACTTTACAATACTTAAGTCATTTTATTTATTCATTTTCATTTTATTTAAAAGGCAGAAAGACATTTCTATCCGCTGTTCTCTTCCCCAAATGCCTGTGACAGTCAGGGCTGGGCCCTGGCTGATCTCCCACATGGGGAGAGGGCTAAATGCTTGAAACATCATCTGCTGCCTCATAGGCCACTCTTCAGCAAGAACTTGGATTGCAAGTGAAGGTGAAACTTGAAGCAGAGTCTGCGCTATGGGATGTGGGCACCTCAAAAAGCAGGATAAGATATCAGTTTGAAAATAACCTCTGTCAGAGCAACATGGATTCTGCTGATTGATGAGGACACGTGGGTAGAAGCTTAGTGACATCTTGATGGTTTACAGAAAGTTTGTGGGAGTTAGTGTCCCAATGATCAGTTTACAAATGGACACAGATGGTCTCAAGGAGGAAATAAGCATGTTGAAGATGCCATCCACATGCATGTGCAAGGAAAAATTCACCTGTCCGTGCCTTTGTCAAAGAGGACCAGCCAAACCCATAGAGTTGTAGCATGGTTCAGCTTACCCAGCTTTGACCACAAAATAAGTGGAGCAGAGTTTTTGCTCTGTGAGAGCCACATCAGCTGCAGGCAAGAACAGAGCTGTAGGTCCCACTGTGAACAGGTGGGATCAAGATCCTGAAACACTGCTTTCCAGAATTGGAGCAGGAGACGAAATGGGGCTTTAGCAGAACCATCTCATCGTCAAAGCGGTGGCTACTGACAGGGAGCAGTGGCCCAGTTAAAACAAGAGCGCTTAGCAGCCTTTTCAGGGGATGCTTGAGGTATCTTGCTTGTTGACTTTCTGAAGGGCTGAAAAACAATAATGGAGTGTTTTGAGAAGGTTATACAGAACGAAGGGAGAAAACAGTGGGGAAAGTTTCTTCAGACACAGTCCTTTGCCACAGCTTTCCTACTCAACCTCATGAGAATATTGATGGAAAATCATTAGGCATCCACCTTGCAATGGATATTTTGCTCGTTCTGGCTGGTGTTTATTTTCTCATCCTAAAAAAAAAAAATCTTTTGGACCACTGTTGTCATGCCACAGGGAAAGCTCCAGCCCATGTTGCTAGTACCCATCCCCCAGAAGGGTCCCCCACTCCACACTGGCTACTGTGCCTCTATTCCAGCTCCTGACAGTGTTTCTGGGGAGGCAACAGATGGGCCTAGTCCTTGGAACCCTGCCACCCGTCTGGGAGAACCGGATGGAGTTCCTGGTTACTGAGTTTGACCTGTCCTGGCCTCTGCTGTTGTAGCTGTTTCAGGGAGTGAACCAGCAATAGTTCTGTCTCTCTCTCCTTTGTCACTCTGCTTTTCAAGTAAATACATCTTTCTTTTAAAAAGTCCTTAAAGGACATATTCCCAGGACCGTGGCTCTTTAAACGTAGACTAAATGGCTGCTGTCATCATGTACAAAAGAGTATTTAGGGATGTTTGGTGAACAGTGAAGGCACCACATAGACTACCCGTGTACTGAAGTACCTGAATTTAGGCTCCAGCTCTGCCTCTGTTTCCACTTTCCCTAACCCTGTAATGTAGATCCTGGGCTCCCTGCCACCCATGTGGGAGACCTAGGTGAAGTTCCTGACTCCTGCCTTCAGCCTGACCTGGGAGTGAATCAGTGAATCAGAAATGTCTGTCTCTGTCTATCTGCATATGTCTTTGAAATAACATAAATACATGTGTTAAAGTGTCTTAACTTGATGGAGCTGATCTTGAAAAAAGTGAAGTTTATACACTTTTATTTCTTTCTTCTAATTCCATTTTTCTACAGACTTTCTGAAGTCCTTGTGTGTGTCTGTATTAAGAATGTATGTGCGACAGTGTGTGTTCCAGGGTTAGGGTTCACAGAATGGCCAGATTTAGCTGCCTGTTGTTAAAGGTTTCTGAGTCACCCAGGAAGCATTTGTTCGTTTGAAATTTGTAGGTATGCAACTGTTTTTTAGATGTTTATAATTTACACTTTTAAATGTAGCAAGCATGCATTCAAGAAAATAATTAACAGCTTATATAGAGTAATTTTTTTTTCTCAGAGCTTCTAAATAAGCTGCTGCTTGTCTGAACATCTTCAAAGAGTAGATAATGAGGAAAAAAAGACTTTCCTTCCAAACGTTAGAAGATGTTAGGGTTAATTTGTAAGAGAAGCAGGGTATTCTGAGTAGAACTGAAGAAAGAAGAAATTACATACTTACAGTTCTTCAGTGTGAAATGGGATGGCTGGGGAGGAGATAAATTGTGGCCTCCACCCCGTCATATGGCGGCAGGTTGGTGACCCCGCTATGATTTGAGAATTGTGGAGTGGAAGAATTAGGAAGAAGAAACTATAAAATCCAGAAATGTAATCAAGCAGTGTGCAATAACATTGCAAGAACTGATTCTGTGAGGAAAGGGATACAAGGGAAAGAAATAAGACTGGGAAGGGGAGATGAGGAGTGGTCTGGCTCCATCTAGGCGTGGGAAAGTTTAGATCAGTCTAACAGCCAAGGTAGCCAAATCTGTGTTATGCCTTTTCCATCCCGATTTTCTTTTTTTCTTGTTTTGCATTTTTAAAAATTATGTTATTTATGTGACCGAGAGAGACAGGCAGACAGACAGAAAGGTCTTCTATCTGCTGGTTCACTACTCAGATCCTCAGGTGGCTACAGTAGCTGGGGCTGGGCCCTGTTGAAGTCAGGAACCAGGAGCTTCATCCAAGTCTCCAAAGTGGGAATCCCAGTATATAAGCTATTCTCTGCTACTTTTCCTAGACTATAAGAAGGGAACTGGATCAGAAGTGGAGGAGCCAAGATTCCAACTAGCTCCCAGTTGGGATGCCACCATGATGCCAGCCTTGACTGTTCTTTCCTTAAAGAAATACATGTAATATTATTTATGTTACTCCTTAAAAAACATTAAGTTTTGTAGATGATTATTTTATGTAATTAGAGAACAGTGCCCTGGAAGTGAGAAGAAAACACATTCATGCTTTTCTTGTGGGGCTGGGGGATTACCCCAGGCATAGCCCTTTTGTACTTGCAGTTGCACCGGGTCACCTGTGACCAGACCTATCTGCTCCGATCCCTGGATTATGTGAAGAGAACCCTTCGGAATCTGAGCGGCCGCAGAGTCACTTTCCTCTGTGGAGACGCTGGGCCCCTTGCTGTAGGAGCGGTAGTTTATCATCGACTCAGAAGTGATTGTGAGTCCCGGGAATGTATCACAAAGTGAGTTTCTAAAACTACGTTTCTCTAAAATCTCACTAAGTTTTTGCTTTAGTTTAGAAAGGTAGTTAAAGTGGAAATTCATGTTTGGTTTGTGAGCTGATACAAATAGATCTCTTCAGGAAGTGAAGAGGTGTGACATTGGGCTTGTATGCTTTGTGCCCAAGTGTGGATGTGCCTGTTTGTGGGAATAAAAAATATGTCTTTGAATAGTTCTAATTGTTTTTCCTAAGCATTTCTTAAATTGCTCCCATGTCTTAGACCCACTGTGTAATAACAAAATTCATCTTAGATTCAACCATGATGTAATTAGTTGGGTATGTGAATTGATGGGAGCTTAGGGAGTGTGAGCATTTTGCTTCTGTTCTTACTCAGAAAGACAGAAATCAGGACTCACCTGGCACATGCTGATCAGTTGGGATTTGTTCAGACACAGAATGACTGATAATTTCCAAACACTGGTCCTTTAAAAATGTTTTTAAAGGTTTATGTGTCTGTTTTTGAAAGAGCTACAAAGGGGACAGGAGGTGGAGGGAGAAAGAAAATGACCTGGTCTCCACTGGTTTGACTCCCTCAGTTGTCTGTGTTGGCCTGCACTAGAGCAGGCTGAAGCTGAACTTCCCCTGGTCTTCAGGTGGGTGGAAGGTACAGAAGCACTTTGGCCGTCTTAGGCTGCTTTCCCAGGCCATAAGCAGGGAGCTGGATGGGAAGTGGAGCAGCTGGAACACAAACCTGGTACCCATATGGACCACTTGCATTGCAGAGAGGGGATTCACACACTGTACCACAAAGGCAGTTATTTAGTTAGTTAGTTAGTTAGTTTTCTAAATCACTTGCTTCTAATTCTGGATTTCAAAAAGAGGTATCCTCTATTATATGGATTAGAGTGAAAACAAGGTAGAATGTTGTGCTTTAATTTGATATTTGTAAGGAATTAGTAAAGTGGAAGTGTTTGGGAGTTTATTTGAAATCACATTTTTGGGGCTGTTGCCTTGCTCAATAGGCTAATCCTCCACCTTCAAGTGCCCACATGGATGCCTATTCATGTCCTGGCTGCTTTATTTCCCAATCATCTCCGTGCTGTGGCCTGGGAAAGCAGCGGAGGATGCTTTATGTCCTTGGGACCCTGCATCCATGTGGGAGACCCAGAAGAAGCTTCTGGCTTCGAATAAGCTCCAGCATTTGTGACCTTTCAAGGAGTGAACCAGTTGCTGGAAGACCTTTCTCTGTGTGTCTCTCTATTTAAATCTACCTTTCCAATAAAAATAAATGAATCTTTAAAAAAAGGAACTTGCCTTCAAGTTTAAGGATAAGGAAGTAATTCCTGAAGTGTCACAGTGATTCGCTTCTCTGTTGGTTAGACTTCTTCAGCTGCACAGAACTGTTGTGAGCCAGGACTCAGACCTTCCTGATGAGCTGCTGTACGGGCGGGCTGGCTACCTGTATGCCTTGCTGTACCTCAACACAGAGATTGGCCCTGGCACTGTGTGTGAGTCAGCCATTAAGGAGGTACTGTGTGCTCTGCTTCCCACTCAGACTCATTTCTAACATATTTCATAAAAGGGTTTTTTTCTAGTAACATTCTGAAAGTTGTATCTCTCTTTGTCCTTGATTTCCTTGGCTGTTTTTCTTTGAGAAAGTGTAGAATGTTTGTTTCCTGCATGGATGCTGGGCTCCTGCACTGTCCCAGGCATGCATCCTTACCTGTACAGCCAGAGCAAACTCACAGCCCTCCTCCCAGTTGGCTTCATGGTGCTCCCCCGCTGACTGCATTCTGGTGAGCCAGGATTGCTGTGTGCTGCTGGAACCCAACACACAGTAGTCCACTGAGACAATGAAGGGGCATGTACTATGATGCACACATGGCCTGTGGCCACAACACACAAGATGTTCTCAGATCCAGCTGGACTCTTCAGCCACAGCAGACTTCCTTAGCCTTGCTCCTGTGAAGCCAGGCCCTCCAGCTTTTCTGAAAGATGGACTTGGTTATCTTTGGGGGAACGATTGTAACAGAGTCAGCTAGAGCAGTGTTCTCAGGAAGCTTCTCTACATTTCAGTAAACTTCATGTGAAGAAGCTGGGCAAACTCAATACTGTTTTCTACTCTGGCACTGTTTTTTCCTCCCCTGTACTTATTGTGAGTAACCTAAGCTCCTGACAGCTGCTCTGCCTCTGTCCCTGTCCCTTTCACTGTCTGCCCCTGCCTGATGTGGACATGCTTTCAGTGGTGATTAAACTGGGACAAGATGTATGCAGGTATTTTAAACTGATGCTGTCTCGTTGTCTTTGTAGGTCGTCGATGCTATCATTGAATCAGGTAAGGCTTTGTCGAGGGAAGAAAGGAAAGCTGAGCGCTGTCCCCTGTTGTACCAGTGGCACAGGAAGCAGTATGTTGGCGCAGCTCATGGCATGGCTGGAATTTACTATGTGTTGATGCAGGTGAGTGTGGAGACTGTGAGACCCTAGGATGAGTACACTTCAGGAAGTATATAGAAAATGGGTTTAAAAGCTAGGTTTGGAGTGGGCATTTGGTCTCACAAGTTAAGACGCCTGAATCTCACATCAGAGAACCATGATTCCATTCTTGGATGTAGCCCCTGACTCCAGCTTCCTATTCGCACACACTGGGAGGCAGCAGATGATGGCTCAGTACTTGGGTCCCTGACAGCCAACTAAAAATAAGATTGGGTTTCTAGCAGCCAGCTGCCATCTCAGCCAGTGGTCACTATGCATATGTGGGGAGTGAACCAGCAGATGGAAACACTTTCTTGTCTGCCTCAAATAATTTGTTTAAAGTAATTTGGCTATAAAAATACTGAAATGCATATATAGCATTTTTCATAATACACATTTTCCATAAACTTTTTGAAAACCCCTCATGTATTAACCATTTAACAATGCATTAGTTTAAATGTGAGGTTATTGCTGGGCTGGGATCTTGTCTCAGGCATTCCACTTCTGTGGAATTGGTTGCTGACAGCTCCACCAAGAACTCAGGGGCCTCACCCTACATATTGCCACGTGGCCCTTTTTATTTGCCCTTTTCTAAAAGCTGAGATTTTTGTTACTTTGTAAGCTCACACAGCAGGAGTCAAGAAGCTGTCCTTGGGTAAGAGTCCAGCTGTCCATGTTGGTTAGCCTGACATCAGCACCCATGGTGCCTGAGACGGTTACCGAAGCTCAGGCTGTGGGGGTGTGGGTGCAGAGGGCGGCTGGGCCAGCCACCTCACGGGACCCTCCTGGGGTATCCCTCTGGCTCACCTGCTAGAAGCCACAGTGGAATTAAGTGTCCACCTGAGTACTACAATAGGTGTACGACTTAAGAGACCAGATGCCTACATCAGTTTGTAGCAAAATTCTGTTCAGACCATATCAATGTTTATGATTAAACAGGCCATGTTTATCAAAATTCTTATGTTAAAGCTACCCTCCCCCACTTTCTTATAAACCTACTGTGTTGTTTCCACATGGGAGGGAAATAGGCGGCTCATAGCCACCAGGACTGATACTACCTGGCCTGGTGTCAGGCTCTCTGTCACTGTCACAGAAGTGACTGTAGTGTGTCTTTGTTTCCAGAGTAACCAGAATTCTATGTCTCATTAAGAATGATTCTGTTTTTCAGGGAAGTTCAAAGGTTCTGTGTCAGAGTTCTCCAGAGAAACAAGACCAGTATAGGAGATACATACATGCACATGCCTGTATTGAGATGTGTGTGTACATGTGCAGATTATACATGAACACATGTGTAGGTGTGTGCACATGTGTGTATATGTATGTGTGCAGCCCATTAGCAGGGAGCTGGATGGGAAATGAAGCAGCTGGGACTTGAACTGGCACTCACATTGGATGCCAGCACCACAGATGGCAGCTTAAAAACCCACTGAACCCAGCACCAGCCCCAAGATTGAGCTTTCTCAAAATCTTTTGTGCTTCATGGCCTATAATTTTTTAAAATGTTACGTTTTCTAAGCATGTGTCAGAAAAAAGCACCTAAAGATTTTTTTCAGAGATTTTTCTAGTAGGTTTATATCTTTTAAAAAATTAAGAAGACTTCATGAAGTTTGAAAGCATTGATACCAATGCTTTGTGCTTAAAAACAATTGGCTTTTTCTTAAAGGGATGATGTTTTGGGGGCTGGTATTGTGACTGGTAAAGAAACCACCTGCAGTGCTGACATTTCATTTGGATGTCGATTTCCATCCTGGGTGCTCTTTACAATTCCCGCTTCTTGCTAATGACCTGGGAAAGCAACTGAGGAGGCCCAAGTCCTGGGACACTGCACCTGCATGAGAGTTCCAGATGAATGTCCAGGCCTGAGCTGGCCTATTCCTGGCTGTGGCAGCCATGTAAGAAGTGAACCAGCCAATGGAAGATCTTTCTCAGTGTCACTTGCTCTCTTTCCATTTTTCTTACTTTGTGTATGTGTGTGTGTGTGTCCGTCCGTCCGTGTCCCCTTCTCGTTATAGTTCTTTCTTTCAAATAAGTAAATGAAGAATGTCTTTGTTTAAAATTTTTTTTGGTTTTATAGAAGTAAGCATTGTGTTGTAGATTTTCTTTTAATAGAATAATATGACTTTTCAAGCAATATTTCATTTTGGGTTATAAGTATAATCTGTCGCCTCTGGGCATTTGCCATCCAAATGAAGACTAACTCCAACCTGGACTTCACGGTAATGCAGATTGGCCTCAGCTACCTGACGTGTCGCTTTGCCATTTGACTGTCACTACCATTTTCAAGGAATTTGTGCAGTGGCCTGAGACTCTAAATGTGTATGTGTTAAATGCCTCAGAATTAGTTAATATTTACCAAGTGTAATTTTAGTCTTAGTCTCTATAGCAAAATGCTAAAACAAGATTAGTAATACATTCTAATAGGTAGTATTGAATGAGAGCCATTGATAGCTGTTACTGCTATGGCACACAACTGTTTGGATATAAATGTATAGTGCTGGTTGTGTGCCTGGGGTGACTGAAGCCCAGCAGTTACATGTGGGCCAAATGGAGAAACCTGGAGGGAAGTCAAGGGTGGCGTTTATACAAAGTGAAGGAAGCCTGGCTTCTTTAAATCCAATCTTGTGACTGACTCTACAAAGATGGTGTGTGTGCAATGTCATTTCACCAGTCTGTTTTAGAAGATTGCAGGAAGAGTTGAAGCTGAAAATGGTCTACCTAACCAGATAATCAAAATGATTCTAATTTAAAATTACTCTAGTGTTCCAGGTAATTGAAATGATTCTCACTTTATTTGTGTTTTGTTCCATGTGGCTGATGCTTTATTGTGTTCTTGCTGATAAAATTATTTAAAGGAACAAACTGCAGAAAAAGTGTTTCTTTTTTGTTTGTTTACAGCCAACAGCAAAGGTAGACCAAGAAACATTGATGGAAATGGTGAAACCTAGTATTGATTATATACGCCACAAAAAATTCCGATCTGGGAATTACCCATCATCACTGAGCAATGAGACGGATCGACTCGTGCACTGGTGCCACGGAGCCCCAGGGGTGGTGCATATGCTGATGCAGGCATACAAGGTCAGTCCCTCGGTGACCCCAGATGCAGCTTCTGGGGGTACAGGTACACAGTCAGTCCCTTGGTGACCTCAGACCTGGCTCTTGGGGGTGCAGGCATACAAGGTCAGTTCTTCCGATACCCCAGACACAGCTTCTGGGAGGTGCAGGTACAAGGTTAGTCTGAATCATCTTATTTTTTATGACTAACTACAAAACATTATTCAGAGAAATTGTGGAAGATAATCTCTCCTGACATAGACCCCAGAACCGTTTAGTTCTTGACATCAAAAATATTTCAATGATGTAAAAAGATATGAACATTCAAGAAAATAACTTAGGGAGTTTTGGTTTTTGGCAAGAGCAATGAAACAGATTCTTAAACCAGGAGAATTTAATTTTGTACTTGGGGGATGGTTTGTTCCAATCCTACATCCCTGTTCTTGGAGTGTTAGTTCCCTGTACATCTGCATGCTTGTCCAGCAGCACCAACAGGACCCCTGGTTGCCACATGGAAGAGCAGCTGCCAGGAATAAGAGCCTCTTTTGGTTAGACTCTTTCTCACTTGAAAGGGGCTCAGCAGCCACAGCTGGGGTACGCGTGGACTGCCTGTGTTGGCTGCCAAGAGTGCCTTCCAGTCTGTGTCCGGGACATCAGGACTCTTGTGCCCTTCTCCTGGACAGTTGCCTTCTAGTCAGCTCTGCTGGTAGAGTCCCCTGCGGTTTCCACCACAACTGGACATGTGGGGAGCAGAGTGAGCCCCATGGTGCCCTTCCATGGCCTGGATCAGCTGCAGAACACCCTGCACACCTGTCCTGTCATGCAGAAAGGGTAAAGCACCCATCTGCTGTCCCGCAGACTGGAAAAGCTGGAAAATGAGGCTAAGGATGAATGTTTGGACAAAGTACAGAAAACAGTTTCATAGCCGACAAGTGTGTCATCTTCACAATGTGAATTTCAAAAAAAACTTCCTGCTTGGTGTGGATGGATACACGGCATCCCTTCTGCACAGCTGTCTGTCATTGTGGCAGCACTGGGGAACCACCTAGCTACATTTTCTTTCCAATCACTGAAGATTAAGTTAGAAGGTCTTGGGTTTATTAATGTCTGTTCTGAAAACGAGGTCAGAAGTGTTTGTTTTATGTAGTGACAAGCTTTCTCGTGTCCTGTACTGCTACATAAAGTTCTGAATCCTAAAGCTGTGATTATGATGGCATAAAGGTCCCAACTATTTGGGGGGGAAATTGGTATTTTTCACAAATAAAATTATTAGTTCATTCTAAGTTCATAAAATTTTCTTTGCCTCCCTTACAAGATGCTAATCCTGTATTGATGTTTGACTAGAAAATATTCTGTAATTGAACATGTAGTTTAAATGGTCTCAGAACAAAATCAAGTCTTTAACAACAATGTTGTTATCTTGAGGATTTTGTTAATTGTCAGTAACTTGCTACCAGATGACACTTTCACATCCCATACGTTGATGAAAACCCGTATCTGCTTTTGACTGTCTAGCAGTAAGTTAGGGTGATGGCAGCAAGTTCTACTATTTCAACTTACATTTTGAGTCCTAAGTCATTGGCAGTTTTTGTGGGTTTAGACACTGTACACTATTGCCCACACTTGGCAGAGCCAGTGAGCAGGTCTCAGATGCTGTACTGCAGCAGGGTAGCAGCCTTCTCCCCCTCTGGACCGCCTCAGGAATGCTCCCTCCCAAGGTGGAGCACTCTGAGCTCAGATAAGTATAGTTCTGTGTAAATGATCCTCCTGCTTTGTAGAGGGGTTTGAAACCTTCGAATGGCTTTCTTAGGGTGTGTTTTAGAACTAGTGGAAGGATTGTTTACAGACTGTATTTCCATCTTCCTCAAGATTTTGTCATGTCTTCATTGTAATAATCACTCATATAAATATACCAAAGTTTATCAGCTTGCTTGCAGTATGAGTAAGGTGGTGAAACATTCTTGTCTTTCTGTGGACATGCATTGTCATTTCTTTGGGGATGATGCTTAGCAATTGCTATTTCATTGTTTTTCTTTTTATAATTTGTATTTTATTTTTAATATTGTTGACATAGTTAAAAGAAATGCATGTCCATATGGGCCTTTTGTTAGGATGGGGAGGGTTGAGGTATGGGGGAAGGTGGATGGGACAGATGTTTCAGTTCTTTCCTATCTCCTGTGTCCACTTGGGGAAAAGGGAAAGGGGCTGCTCCTGGCTGTCCAACTGTATCAGTACCTGGGGATGGGAGACAGTCATTTGATAGCGCCTTAAGAGACCCCAGTGTGGGGAAGTATGTCCTGAGGGTATCATTTGAGTGATTTTGATAGTTCTGAGACTTTGTTGCACCAGGGTTGGGAAAATCTTGCCAAGGTCTGTTATCTGAAAGAGTCCATCTTGTTGCATCCACAGACCTAAGAACATGCTGCAAAGCTTGTCCAGGGGAATGATCCAACCTGTTCTGCTTTCCTTCCTTTGACAAGGCAGTTGACATCCTCTGCTGGCCTAGATGAGCTGGCTGTCATGTCCCCATGTGCATCTGGACATGCTGTCCACTACACAGGCATCAGCAACTAAGGAAGCTCAGTCCTAATGCATGCACTCTAAGGTCGGACCACAAACTTTGTGAATTTCCTGTGGCCAGGATTTGAGTCTCCAGTAATCTAGTTGGGGAGTCCCCTAAGTGACCTTGCCTGGGATGACCTCAGACTTGACTCTTAGGTGTGTCAGCCAGTACAGAATAAGGTTTAGTCTGTCACCAGCACCAGCCAATGCACATACCAGTGGATGCAGCTTGGTCAGTTCTACCTTAACCCCATATCTCACATGAACCAACAGGTACTATGGCCCAGCCCAACCAGGCTGCCACAGACCTGATCCTTAACATATATTAGTGAGTACTCTGGCCCAGTTAGGGCAATACTCAGTAACTCCCACCAGGCTCACCCCCAGCCCTGGTTTTTGTATGTACCAGCCTGTGCTATGGCCTAACTCAGCTCATCTCCTATCCCATACAGTAATCATGCATACCCTTGGGTGTTACAGCTTAGCTCACCCAACTTGCTCTGACTTTTATGTGCACCATTGGGAGCTGCAGCCTAGTGGGGGAGTGCCATCAGTTCACCTACCAGGCCCACTCCCAGCCCTGAATTGTACCCTTGCCAGGGGATACTGTGATCCAGCCTGAGTTACCCCCAGTCTTAGTACTTGACAGCAAGTGTTCTGGCCTAGCCCAGCCTATCTTACCCCCAGATCTGGCTTTAATGTGAACCAGCAGGTGCTGTGGTCTAGCCCAGCCCATCATGTATCCATCCGGGCTTGTGCAAATGTGAACAAGTACTGGAGCCTAGCCCACTCTGACATATCCCCAGACCCAGCCCACATGCATGCCAGTGGATGCTGCATCCTTGCCCAGCCTGATCAGTCTCTCTCACACTTTGGCTCTCACACACACCAGGGGGAGCTACAGCCTAGTAGGGGAGTCCCCAAAGTTCTCAGGGGCCCGTTCCCAGCCCCATATCTTATGCCTGCCTGAAGGTGCTTCAACCCAGCCTGGTCTGGCCTGCCCCCAGTCTCAACTCTCAATGGCAGGTGTTGCAACCTATCCAAGCCCAGCATGGTCCACACCCCATTGCCGGCTCTTGCATGTGCCAGCGGATCCTGTGGCCTGGTCCTAACCCCCATACCTGGCCCACACACAGGCAGACAAGTGTTACTACCTGGCCTGGCCTCTACCAGCCCCAGTCTTGTGTTCCCCAGTGGGAGCTGCAACCTAGCAAGGTAGTTCCTCAGGTTCCCCTACGAGGCCCACTCCCAACCCCAGATATCAATCTTGTCTGCAGATGCTGCAGCCCTGCTTAACATGGTCTGCCCTCAGTCCCATCCTTTGTGTGTGCCAGCAGGTGCTGCATCCTGGCCTAGGCTGGCCTCCTTCCAATCCTGATTCGTATGAGTGTCAGTGAGTTCTGTGGTCCAGCCTGGCTCATCCCATCACCATCTCTAGCTGTCATGCAAACCAGCAGGTACTGCAGTTCCACACAGGCTAGCCCACAAGTGCCCTACAGAACCTGCTTCTATATCTGGTTTTCTCACATTCTGGTGGGTGCTGCAGCCATTGTGACTTGACCCACCCACTGCCCCAACACTTTGCGTATAGGCATTGCAATCTAGTGCAGCCAGGCATGCCTCCAAGTTCCAACTTCTGCTTGTGCCAGCGGGCAGCAAGCATTACTACTTAGCCCATCCCAGGTCTCCTGCATGCCTTTTGGTTTCACTGCTCAAAACCATTTCACCTTAGCTCCCTCACCTACATGCAATTATAGTAGCCAAATCCATGGAAGCCCCTGCAAGTCAATCCTTCCTGTAAGATATGCTCTCAGTGGACCTCACTACAGCATGTCCCTAGATGCCCTTCTCTGGGCCACCTCCAGCTCCTGTACCCCACAGTAGTGCACAGCATGGTTGGGGCTGAAGTGGCATGTCCTGGCCTGGTGTTTCCTGCCTTCCACCATGCTGTGTAGCGTTCCCCACATATCTTAAAAAAAAAAAGTAACTATCCCGGAGTATAATTAACACAGATTTGTCATTAACCAGTCCCAGAATGCCTGCCAGCTATTGGCTGTTTTCCTCCCAGCAATGTAACACTTGCCTAGTACAGAGAGTACAGAGCAACCTAGGCAGTTGCCTACAGCATATGTTCCCAAGAAGCTTTGTTGAGTCAGTCTGCAGACACCCAGCCTCTGGCCTTCCATGTTTGTTTAATCTCCTACTACAATCTCCAGTGTGTTTCCACAGCTTTATTGGCTTTGGGTTCATGCATTATGAGGCTGTATTAGCAGGCAGATGAGGGATGGATGGATGGATGGTTGGTTGGAAGGGCAGACGGATGGATGGATGGATAGATGAGAGATGAATTTTTGAGGCTATAACAGGCGATAGACTGACAGAGACCAGGGTACTTCAGAATGTCTATTATGAGGAAACATGGATTCCAAAATTTTTTTGCACCAAAACAAAATCTCTATTCATTTTTGCATGAACTTTTTGACTTTCTAATTAACTTTTTTGTCATTATGAAATGTCCCTTTTCAAGACCATCAAGATGTTTTTGGGTTGTACTTCATCTAGCAGCTTTACACTTGTCAAAGTAGGTCTTAGAATTTGTTTTGCACAGGGGTCAGTGTTGTAGTACTGCAGGTGAAGCTACTGCTTTTGACACTAGCATCCCCTCCAGGAAAGCCTGGTTGCTGTGGGGACTGCATATGCAACCCTAACTGTTCATAGTCTGCTTAGTGCTAACTTTGTGTTACTTCACATAAGTTGATGGTTGTATGTGCTCCCATTCTTAAAAAATTTAAAAAAAAAAAGATTTTTATTGGAAAAGCAGATTTACAAAGATAAGGAGAGACAGAAAGATCTTCTGTCTGCTGGTTCACTCCCCAAGTGGCTGCAGTGGCCAGGGCCGAGCTGATCTGAAGCTGGAGCCACTTCCAGGTCTCCTATGTAGGGGCAGGGTCCCAAGGCTTTGGGCTGTCCTCTACTGCTTTCCCAAGCTACATAGAGCTGGATGAGAAGTGGAGCAGCCAGGACTCAAACCGGTACCCAAATAGGGTCTCAGTGCAAGCTAGGCAAGGATTTTAGCCACTGAGCCATCATGCCAGACCCTGACTTCCCATTCTTTACACTGTGCGTCAGGTACATTACAGCTACAAGTGTTATGTACCTCCCTATCATTTCTTCTTTAAATAGTCCTGAATATTTTTTTAAGAAGAGTGAAAGAGTTACAGAGACAGAGAGAGGTATTCTCTCTGTTGGTTCACTCCCCAGGTGGCCAGAACTGGGCCACTAAAAAGCCTGGAACCAGTTGTTTAGTTTGGTGACCCTCCATGAGTACAGAGTCCTAAGGCCTTTCCATCCTCTTCTGCTTTCCCAGGCCATTAGCAGGAAGCTGGATCAGAAATGGAGCAGCTAGAACTCAAACCAGCATCCATATGGGATGCCAGCACTGCGGGTGGAGTATTAGCTTGCCAGTCCCAAGTCCTAGTATTTAAGTAAATACAGGCACTTGAATAATGACAAACATGCTTCTTCTTTTCAGTGCTCTCCTTTCCTCTCCAGAGATCGCAGCGTCTATCTGGCACAGTTCTGTTTTGTCCAGTATAAATTCTGTTCACTTCTGGTCCAGCTTTATGCTAACATGTCTGGGAGGCAGCAGTTCCCAATACCCATGCAGGATGCTTGGATGAAGTTTCTGGCTCCAGGCTGGCCCAGACATGATTGTTGTGGGTATTTGGGGAGTGAGCCAATAGATGAAAGACAACCATCTCTCCCTTTTGATGTGTAACTCCTCTTTCCAAATAAATCTTTTTAAAAATTATTTTTGCTTTGCCATGAGAGTAGGAGGCATAAGCTAGCCACTTGGAGTTAGAAGGTGCTGCCGGCTGCTCCTGAAAGTTTTGTTTGTCTACCACCCTCACTGGGTACAATTCTCTTACCAGGAAGGGAAAGTACTATACTGACTCCTCAGTGAAAGCATCCCTAATGTTGCCTTGTTGCTTTTCCAGGTCTTTAAGGAGGAGAAGTACTTGAAGGAAGCCATGGACTGCAGCGATGTGATCTGGCAACGGGGCTTGCTCCGGAAGGGCTATGGGATCTGCCATGGGACTGCTGGAAATGGCTACTGCTTCCTGTCCCTCTACCGCCTCACACAGGACAAAAAGTACCTCTACCGGGCCTGCAAGGTAAGGACAGCAGGATCCAGATGATACCCAAACACCCAGGATGTTCCTGGTTCAGGAATACAGACCCATTTGGTGTCGCATTCCTTCTGCACGGCCTTGTCATGATGGTGGATCGCAGTATCTATAAAGAGTGGATGAATATGTATTCCGGATTCACTGCTTGCACTGGGGTCACACTGCTAGGTCAGAGACATTTCTTGGCTAGACCTGATGTCCATGCCTTTGTCCTGCTCTTAGCTGCTTCCCCCTGGAATGTGCACCACTCCCTGCATTTCAGTGCTTATTCTGTTAAAGTGAGGGGCTTTTGAGGGCCTCCATTTGGAAATGTCACTCCTTCTTTCACTGTACTTCTTGTTGCGTTTCTTAAGAACTAGAAGCTCAGGACCTTATTTCTCTGGGTCACTGCCCATCCCTGACACTGGTGGGAACCCAGGGCATGGTGGATGCTGGTGCAGGCTGGTGCACTCTAAGTAGGAGCACCTGTGTCATGAGTTCTTTCCTCCACCTAGGCAGAGGGGACCCCTCCTTGTTGACACATATGCAGCATGTCACCTATAGGCTCAGTGCATATAGCATGGCAGCACAAGCTCAGAGCACACATGTAGCATGACACCCTCACACTTAAGGCACACATGTAGGATAGTCCCACAGGCTTAGAGCATACAATAGTATAGAACTTACATCCTCAGGGCACACATGCACAGACCTATACCCTCAGAGCACATTCACAGCTTTATCCCACACTCAAGGCGCACACACAGTACATCACCCACAAACTCAGCACACATGTGGTATGGTCACCCAGATGCTCAGAACCCACAGGCTGTGTAGCAGTAGCAGCATCTACATGTACAAAGTTAAGTTCAGGTTGTGGCACCTGGGCCAACCCCTGAAGGACAATGTGATGGGCTGTACAGGATGGCTAGGCAGAGGTGGGAATGGACAGAGCTGAAGGCTTCCCCATCCTTGATGATGTGTAGGTAAATAAGTAAATATGGGGGATTTGAAAGGACTTTATATGGCTGAGACAGGGCCAAAAATGGCCTGGCCTGGTCTGGGGAGAAAGTGGGTCTGTTGGTGCCACGAAGGTAGGAAATGTGAGTACAACAGGGTCAGGCAGGTGGTCACCATAACTAGGGGTCCTCCTAGGATCCGTGAGAGAGCCAGCCTGGGGATTTGTGAATATCGACCCAGAGCTGGGCTCCGGGAGAAAGACAGCAGTGGTGGGAGGAGACCTGGACTTAATTATGAGTACAAGAAATGTCGAGTTATAAAACTAAACATCGTTGGTGCTGAGAAATATCCAGGATGTAGAACTCACACGATATAGGCCAGTGCTTTTTGCAATGTGGTGCTGTCCACATGCATCCCTGTTGTCTAACACAGAGGGCTGGGAGTGTTTGCTGAACCAGCTCTAATGGTGAGTAGATGAGGACTTTGGAAAGCAGTCAGTTTAACGCCACAGGTGCTGTTTTCATCACTGAAGAATTTTCATACAAATGACCACACTGTGGCTTGGGCATCAGAGTTTATGAAGTGATTGAGGAGCACCAGGGGCCGAGGGGCACCATGCAAAGAGCCCAAGAGCTGCAGATCTGAGTGGGTGTGGGCTAAGAGACATCAGGCTCTGCTGATGGTAGGGATCTCTAAGCCAGGCAGAGCTGGAGAGGGCTGGCAGCTGGTTTGGAGGTGGTACAAGAACCAGGGAGTGTTTGCTGAGGATGGAAGAGACTTCTCACTGCAGAGACAGAAGTGGGAGAGATGTTGTTGTCACAGGTGCCATATATGGCAGCTGCCACCTATCAGAAGGAAATGGAGAGGTTGTACCTGGCCCAACCTACTGAGAAGGGTAGTTATGGGGTTCTGCACACAGCACACGCTGGTCAATGATCACCTTTCCTTTAGTGAAAACACCATCTGTAATAAGAAACGTCTCTCAGTTCGCAGAGTGGTGTCTGGACTATGGAGCTCACGGGTGCCGCATCCCTGACAGGCCCTACTCGCTCTTTGAAGGTAAGAGGGAGCAGAGAGCTGGTTTAGATAGTGGGTGGCATTGGTGTTCATCGCTGTGGGTAAACATGAGCTGATCTCTTGTCACTTCTCCACTTTTTGCTCACATGAATGTCTGCCAAGTGGTTTTAGATCTTCAGTGAAGTGTGCAGGCAGACAGCCCATGACTTTGTGGATGTTTTATATGTCACATTTGTGACAATTATGCAGTAACAGGAAGCTTGAATAATAGCTTAAAGCTACTTGCCTATGTAAATCATATAAAGAAGGATAAGTGATGGCACTTAATGATTGGAAACAGACATAAAAATGACAAGAGTAAATATTGAAGAAAGTTGTAGGTAGATCAGTGAGTTAAAGCAGGGAAGGGAATTCACAGAATGTGCTGCTGGCACAACAAATGGGGTGTGATGGAGGAAAGCAGGATGGAGCCCTGCAGAGAAGCAGGGAAGGAAATTCACAGAATCTGCTGCTGGCAAAATGGACTGGGCAAAAACTTTTGCAGGATGGTCCCTGGTTGTGCTGGGTAGAATTAGGCACTCCTCAAGAAACGCCCTGTCCTCTGGTTTTCCAGGACCAGCTGGGTGCTACTTGGTGGGGGGAATTGATGTTGTTAACCTAATTCAGATGTTTGAATTCTAATTAGAATTTCTTTCTGGCATTTTTAAACAGACTTGATTTCATACTAGCTCTTAGGCTGATCAGTGTTTGGGAAATTGTCCATTTATTCTGTGATGTCCAGTCCATGTGTGCAAAGCTGGTGCTATAGTCCTTCATGCCACTCAGTGACATGTCCTGTTTCACTCTGATGTGATACTATTTTAAAATCAAAATTATGTGAGCAGAATACAGAGCATTTGTTAGGTCTTTTGTGTAATCTATATGTTGTTTTTACAATTCAGAGAAATCATACAGGAAAAACACTAAGGGTACAACTTGTAGTCTTCTGAGGTCATAGAAGCACAGTGTATGTGCAGCTGAGCTAACACTCAGGTTTATAAACTCAGGCTGATAACAGTGACGTCAGGGTCCCAGGGCCAGTCTCAATGAACTAGCTAAAGGCCATAGGCCTTGGGTTATGCCCTCTGCCTCACCACAGCAGGAACCAGGTTGTCAGGAGGGCTGAGGGCTGTTTTGTTGAGTCCCATGTGGCCACTGACCACAGCAGGCAGGCAGCTCCTTGCAGAGGGAACCAAGTCCCCTAGAGGTGCTGCCCTTCGCCAACATGGCTCTTTCCAGCATGTCCCATGTTACTTTTCATCAAACAGATTTTTAAAGATCCTTTCCTAATATGCAAGAATTTTGGATTTTTTTGTGCTAAAATATAATGACTTTATCCTATTTCATACAAATGTCTTGAAACCCCTCATACAAGATTAATGAACACAAGCCATGTTTTTAAAAGAACACTGGGGCATGACCTGCTGGTGTTGTACAGGGGTCACTGAGGGCTGTGTCCCCACATGCCATGCTCCCTGGGGCTGCAGATGACTCACTGCCCTTGCCGTTCATGAGCCATCCCCCGTTTGTGTTGCAGGCATGGCTGGTGCAGTTCACTTCCTCTCTGACATCCTGGTGCCAGAAACATCACGGTTTCCAGCCTTTGAACTTGGCTCTTCACAGAAGGATGAAAAGGTACAAAAAGACACGTAAAATACCAGCCTGCTTCATGCCTGACCCAGAACCAGCTATGAATCTGGAAAGAAAGGACAAGAAGCAGATACTTGGCACATCCCCCTTCCTCACAGAGACCCTGTGTCAGAGCATGACCAACGGAAACCCTGCCATCCACGTCCTGTGTCCCCTCGCCATGTGAAAAATGAGTTCTCCACACCCAGACCGTGTGGTGTCTGCATGTTTCTTCGTGTTTGCAGGTGTAGGTGGCTGTTAGTATCCCCACAAGCTCGGAGCTGCATCTACCCAGGAATGGACAGAGTCGGCTCTCTTGCATGTCAGAAAATGCGGGGTGCATGAGGGAAAGCAGAAGGCAGTGGAGAATGTGAGGTGGGAGGCCTCTCTGCACGCGTGTCACCTTGTTTCTGAGGAGCCCCCACGGGCGCAAGCAGCTCCCAGAGCCGTGGTCTCGGTGCAGAGGTTCCTGGAGCCTTGGGTGCAGGCCCCTTGAACCCAGGCTGCTCTGGGGAACAACTCAAAGCTGGAGAGAGCAGCCCTACCACAAGGGAGCAGTAAGGTCAAGCATGGCTGTCGTGGGCACTCACCAGGCACAGACTCAAGTTCCTCAGCACTGTGGCTTATGGATGCGAGGGAGGGGAGACCAAGGTCCAGCAATTGGCGAGCACAGTTCACATGGGTAAGTCATCAGGTACAGACTTGGATGGGCACTCTGGGGCAGAATAAATCACAAGCACTGGTATGCACTGCAAACAGGCTTCACTGTTATAGCCAAGATGCCAGCATGGGCTGTGGGTTATCTGTGTCTCTCCTAAAATGGCCATTAATCTGGATTCTTGCACTCCCAGAATTGTACATGGATTTCAGTTCTCGGGACACCAGCTCAAGCCTCAGTTGCCAAGGGACCAGCCTGGGAGTGGGTGAGGGCAGTAGATGCGTTCAGTCTGGCCCTGCCAAAGCAGCTGCACCCAGAACTTTGAGTCCAGCAGATCTACACAGCAGACTGTAAAATGCTGGTTTTATAGGACCCATGGGGGCTGTTACATTCAAATGGATCTCGGCATAGAAAAGTTTCTCCAGCCCAGGCACCCTGGAACTCCTTACCAGCTCCAGAGACTGTCTACACCCTCCCTAACCCCAGGGGCTGTCTACACTGTCACCGCCCAGATACCATCTTAGTACTCAACATCCTAAGTACTGTGTCACCTGGGTATCCCTTTTACAAGGAGAAAGAAAACCACAGCAGAAGGAAGACCCCTAAGCTATCACTGGACCTTCATTGGGTACTGGCACCCTGACACATGGCCTTGCTCTTTGAGTGACCCTGTGCCTCTATTGCAGATGCTTCTGCTTGTAAAAGTTGGTGGTTCCTTGTGGCTTTAGGGTTCAACTCCTAGATCCTAAAGGCAAGCCATGCACCTCACACAGGCTGGACTGTCCTCAGAGTGACACTTCAGCCATCACAGCCCTCTTCGCAGGAAGTGATATGTCCTGTTCCCACTGTCCCATTCTGTATCTGAAGTGACATGTTCATTTCCAAAGGAAGCTGGTTGCCCCACAGCACAGCCCTTTGTGGCAGGGAGGAGGCCACTCCTGGAATCCTTACTGGCCTGGTGACTTCAGGCCCAGGAGTCTGGGTGTTTACTGGCATGCATGCTTGAAGACTAATTGTCAGTGTGACTACCCCATGTAGAAGAGAACATATCTGAGAGTTTACAGACTCTGTGAACTCTGAAGCCACCTGTCCACCAGGTAGTGAGGCACCACCATGCCACTTAGATGCCATGAAGGCAGCCCCAGGATAGGATGTGGGTGCCCTATGGGGGCCTTCGGTCACTCCTGGAGTCTGACATGCTGCTCTGTAGACCACAGATAGGCACACTCACAACACTGACCACAACTGTTCCACTGTGCTTGAGGCCTTTGCCTCTGTGATTAGATAAAATGTGGTTGATGGCAACAGCCTGTGGCATCTTGGTTTACCATCAGTCTGCTGATCCAGTGCTGGGCAACGGGCTCTCAGCTGAAACACTCATTTATGTTCCTGAGAGGGTCTTTTGCGCTCAGTTCTAGCAAGACATCCCACCCTGGATGGTGGTAAGGTTGCTGACCCTGTCCTGTGATCAGAGAAGGACGGGCAGTCTGGATGCCAGGCATGCTCATCAGAGCATCCCGAGTCCCTGCCTGACCTGTTGCATGCACCGGCCAGAGAGGCCTGTGCTTGGGGTCCCCAACACCTTGGGGATCCTGTGTTGCAGTGAACACACCGTTTTTAGTTGAGGAATGCAGTGTCACATCTGTTGGATGTGCTACATTCACAAAAACAGTAATCCAAATGGAAGTCCAGGTCCCCAGCATTGTTACAAAGACTTAAGGAGGCAGGGTGTAGAGTAAGGCCATGCATTTGTCTCCAGCTTTCCTCGAAGTTCCAGCTCCTAGGAGTGAAAAGGGGATGGGTATCAATACAGGCATGCATGCTGGCAGGCTGTTCTGTGGGAGGTGGACATGCCAGCTGCAGGTCCTAGCTGCTTCTATACCACTGCCCTGGGAAGAGCCAGTGTCAGTCATGGAAGAACAGGTGGTGGCAGTCCTAGTTGCTCAGCACACAGCCTGCCCTGTACTCCTGTCTATGGATCAGCTCAAGGCTTTGGGCTCATTGTGGGACCACAGCCAGATCCCCAAAACACCAGTGGCTGCAGGTAGTCCAGTCCACTTCATACATAGCACCACCAATTTCCCATGTGTGTTTGGGAGGCTGGAGCCCTCATCCAGCACGTGAGGACCGAGCACTTATAGTGTGTCATGCAAAACTGGGAAGAGGGCAGAGACAGACCCATTAGGTTCCTCTTGTGCCACATGCACATACACTAATTCTGAGAGCATGAGGCCTACTGGTGTGAAGAACTTTACCATCCTACCACTAAACATGGAACAAAAACCTGAGCTGCTTCCAGGTAGTTATGGAGTCTCTGGAAGTGACCATCATCCACTGCAGGGGAGATCAAAATACGAACAACAGCCATATCACCAACGGAAATACACTGGCAGATGCAGCAGCAAAAAAAGGTATTACTTGGGAGTTTTGGAACTGGCTTTAAACCTGGATGTCTTGAGTCTTTATAGGTGTATGCACATTGCTAAGATGCATGTTAAATGCTATGCATCCTGAGTATTCCACATCATCACCAAATGCATGTCCAGTGCTGTGTCATGATTTCCCCACATGCATTACCAACATGCATGTTAATGCTGTGTCTCATGATCTTCTACACATTCCTGTTACCTGGAAGAATGCAATGCAATCCTGCCAGCCTTGATCTCACCAACCAAAGACCCTCTGAAGAACTCGACCCTGGCAAGTGGCAAGAATATCACAATGCCACTTGTTTTTCAAATTGGCAAAACTACATCCAAACTGAATCATTCAGTCATGGCTCACTCCATGCATAATGGCAACAAAGTTTGGTTAGCAAATTAGAATATGTAATGTCAAAAGCTCAAAATGAAACAGAACACTTAAGAGGCAAAATTATGGCCTGTCACAATGGTTTAATGGCTAAATCCTCACCTTGAAAATGCTGAGATCCCATTTGAGTGGTGTCAGTTTGTGTCCCAGCTGTTCCATTTCCCATCCAGCTCCCTGCTTGAAGCCCAGGAAAGCAGTAGAGGACAGCCATGCCCCCATGTGGGACCTAGAAGCTTCTAACTTCAGATCAGCTCAGGCTGTCATATCCATTTGGGGAGTGAACCAGCGGGTGAAGATCTTTTTACCTCTCCTCCTTTGTAAATCTGATCTGCCTTTCCAATAAAAAGTGTTTTAAAAATTGTAAAGTGTAAAGAAAAAAACACTGTGGGCTGATGGTGGGGCCCACTCCCCACTCTGCACACACACTATCTAAGTGCCCCAGCTACACTTTGCTGTCAGTACACATGACACAGTCAGGACTTAACTTGGACTTAAAAGTACACCAACACTATGAACTACACAGAGCTCCTGCCTACTGCCAGCAACGTGTAACTACATGTATGATGCTGGGATGGGTCCCTCCTGCTGATGCTAGTCATGGTGATTACATGAATTAGGACAGGAGCTGTTTTAAATAATCTGCCTGTCCCACAGGCTGCATGTGCTGCAAACAGCCTGGGTTGTGCCAGCAATGGATCCCCTACGAGTGACCCCTGGGAACATGAGACACTTCACAGACCCTCCCTTCAGCTGAGCAAGCAGCGCCAGTGAGTGTACCTGCTTCAGGATGAGCCTGTTACCCAGCAGCCACCCCAGAGAATGTGCCATCAGCAGGATGATCTGAGTCTGGTCCCAGGTTGTATGACCAGGGCCCAGGAGTGGGTATGCATACCTCCTGGGCCCTGTGTGGCCCCTTCCTTGCTCCTGGTGCATCCAGCAGCAGCTATGTTTCCTGCAAGGTACATGTTCACTGTAAGCTTTTTAAAAGGACATGGGCTTGGTTTGTCTTTAAATGAAAGCCTGTTAGTGCTCAGAAGGCTCTTCCCCTCCGCCCCCCCGAGCCACTGCCCACAGCCATGTATGCTCCATGAGCCATGGCACATCAGGCAGACAACAAGAGCAGGTGCTAACAGGAGATGGGAGTGAGCCCAGGGCCAGGATGTGCCGCAGCTCTGAGGCCCTTCCCACGTAGGTCTCCAGACGTCTTCAACTCCTCTTGACAAGGGGAAAAGCAGCAGGGGCCCTACACAGCGCCCTGTAAAGCATAATAGTGGGCTGTTCCCATTGTCCCTGCCCCCTCTCTCCACATAGATTCTAGGGCTAAAGCCATGGAGGCACAAGAGGGAGGCAGCTCCTTGAGCAAGCAGTAGAGGGCAATCTCAGGGAAGCTGCTCAGATGCACTCCTGCCCCCTAGCTGTGTGCCCAGCAGAGGCTGTTCCCACCACAGAGATCTGGGTCATGAAGCTAGGTTTCATTTTTAAAGAAATTAGAGTGACAAAATGAGCTCCCATCCTCCAGTTTCACTCCAATGCCATGGTGGCAGGGCTCCAACCACCTGAGCCATCACTGCTGCCTCCCAGGGCATATGACAGCAGGGAGCTGGAACTAGCACAGCCATACACCACTGTCCTTCACTCACACGTGTGTACCTATTTACAAAGCAGACGTACCTGTGTGGATGGGAACGCTGGGTGGAGGGGGCCACATCAGCAGGTGCTAACCCCTGCAATGTTTTGCCGTCCCTGTGATAGCTCCTTCCTCTGCTGGCAAGCTTGTCAAGCGTGCTGGGGAAGGAAAGGTCCATTCCTTTCTCCTGAGATGGTATGTCTTCCCCCACTTTGTGCCCCTTTTGCAGAGAATGTCACTTCCCACAACCCACTCCCAACAAAGTGAAGACAATAATGCCCAAATTTACTTTATTTTGCATACACAGGAAATGAGAGCCTATCAAAAGAGAACACGGTAGAAATGAGCCAAGTGTCACAGAGATGCATGCACACGTCTGCTCCCAGGTCACCCTGCCACCAGTGCCACAGGACACTGTTGAGGCAGGGTCACATCCAGGAGTGGAGGAGAGGCTCAGAAATGGGTTTCCATGGACACCAATGTGTCCACTGCTGCAGGACCCTGACCCAGGTTCAATGCAACATGGGGTTGATCTTATACAAACCCAGGACTAAAACTGCCAGTCCTCCTTAGTCCTCATTCTTAAGACAAAATTGACCCTGATGGGTCCCAGGGAAGGAATCATGTGCTTCTTTGTTTAAAAAAGGACAGGAATTGAAGTAAGAACACAGAACAAAGGGCCTGGAGGCAGTGGGATGTCAGGACCCCTGTGGTTGAGTTGTAAACAGAAAGTTTGTGCTTTGCTGTGTCAAGGACACCAGGATCCCAAGGGGTTGGGAGAGTGGGAGCTGGTCAGAGCAGCAGCATCACCCTGGTGTCCTGCAGAGGCCCAGGAGTGGAGCAAGACCTAAGGGCTGCTCAGCCACAGCCAATTTGCCAGCCCCACCCCGTGGAGCAGCACAGACACTGAGCCTCCTGGCCTGGAAGAACCCAAAACCAGAATCTACTGTGCTTGGTTAGATGCTCAAGTCCAACCAGGTACAACTTCATTTTAGAACAAGCACTGCCCAGTCCACTCCCCATGACACTCTGCACACACACGCACACACATACACACACAATCTAAGTGCCCCAGCTACACTTCTCTGCTGTCAGTACACGACACAGTCAGGACTTAACTTGGACTTAAATGTACACCAACACTACTAACTACACAGAGCTCCTGCCTACTGCCAGCAACGTGTAACTACATGTATGATGCTGGGATGGGTCCCTCCTGCTGATTGCCAGAAATGGTGACTACATCAATGAGGACAGGAGCTATGCCAGGTCTGATTGTGAGGATGATGCTACTCACACCCTTGTATGAGCCACTGAGAGTTTGGAACCATGTTTATCCCAAGTCACACCAAGAACTAATAAGCATGCCAAATTGGACCACTGGAGTGGTTTCCCATGGGTTGGAGAAAGAGGCTTGCAGTCCGCAAGCCCATTGCTGGCTATGCAGAGGGGCCTATCTTTAGGGTGTGAGTGAAGTCAGGATCAAGGGGCTCATCTCCCCTGACACACAGTGGGCCCTGCAGGCCTTACCTGTCACACTACCTGCTGTGTGCGGGGTTCTCCTGAACTGGCCCCTGCCCGGTGCCCGTGCCCCTCCCAGGTTGCTCTGTGCCTTCCTTGTCTTCCGAGGACTAATTCCCAGGGGCTTTGCCACAACACAACACTGTGTTGCACTGGGACAGCAGCAGCCGAGCAGAGGTGTATGAGTCCAGTGTCCTCCACAGAGACCTTGACGAGGCTCTGCTTGCTTGGGAAGTATCAGAGGAGTCTGCCTGGACAAGCCTGGAGCAAGCATCAGTGGGCAGGCTGCCGAGTGGAAGGCCCCTCTTCATGGGCAGCAGCCCTACTTGGCCTTCACCACCTGCTCATATGGGGGTGGGGGCGTGTTGCAATAGGAAGGAGGGGGTGGGTAGGCTGAGCTTCCCTGGGGTGAGCTGGGCTGGACCTGGAAGGCCATGGCCAAGGTGTTCCCGGCAGGAGTCATACCAGGTCCTCCGGGATCAGTGTAATAAGGTGGCCCCGGTGGCTGGACTCCTGAAACAGAGAATCCATGAGTGAGCAGAGAGAAAACCCTAACCCATGACACTTAATCTCTGTGGCTGCAAGGCAGTGGGTCAGGGGTCCCATCAGTCCCACGAGTTGTGTGCAAAGACCCAATTTCCACAGGGACAGGCAAAAGCAACAAGAAGTGCAGGCCTCAGGGGCCTGCTCGGCTGGAAGAGATTGTGTGTGTGTATACATGCAGAAGTGGACTGAGGATATGTTTGTGCTGAGGTGGATAAAGGATGTGTGCGTACATATAGAAGTGGGCCGTGTGTGTGTGTGTGTGTGTGTGTGTGTGTGTGTGTGTGTGTGTGTGGAGGTGGAGGTAGAGGTAAAGAATAGAAGCATATATGTCAGACATGTATGTCAGACTGGTACAGGTGTGTGTACTTGAGGTGGAGGCTAAGCCCTCATCCAATGAGTCCTGTGCAGCCTCCTGGGTACAAGTGGAAAAACAACCTGTGTTCCTGACATTCAGCCCACTCCACCACCCTCTGAGCCAATCTGCTGGTGACTTTTCTAAAATGAGGTCTCCACTGCCACATACTAGGATCCCAGTAATTAAGAAACAGAAGTTAAATGGACTATATTTATCCCTGACACCCCAGTAATTAGAGAGGGACAGGAAATGAATGGACTACATGTATCCCAGACCCTGAAGTGATGGGGAGACAGGAAGTGACACATACGCTGTGAAATATGCTGTACTAGCACTAATCGCAATAAACCTGTACAGGTGGCCTAAGTGGCCTTTTAGAACATTCTGCGGCAATGTCCTTGACAAATGTTTGCATGCAAAACACAGAGGAGTAGAGGGACAGGGAGGCTGACCTGTGCCAGGGTTCGGGGGCTGTCGTGTGTAGGACACATTGAATGCGGGTTCCTCAATCAGCGGTGGGGGGTACATGCGCCTCCGGATGAAAAAGCCGGCCCCACAGCAGAAGAGCACCCCCATCATGAGGAGGAACCTGGGAAAGCAGATTGGGGGAGGCAGGCTCAGAGCCAGTGGCCACCAGACAAGGGCCTTGGGAACTCTGGGACACATCAGGTCCAGGAGCGCAGGGTTTAGGGTGGCTGCAGGGCCAGGACATGAGAACCACCTCAACCTTTGTTGGAGGAAAGCAGGTGGCACCTGGCCAGTGACACCTGAACACTCAGAACTGCAGGCAGAACAAGGTCAGGCATGGTCTCAGAGACCCTCAGTCAGCCCCTGAGGCCCATGGCCAGGAGGGCATTTCCCTGGACTCAGGCCCAGCTGCCTCTCAGGACAGCTGTACAGAGTCCAGCTCAGTGCTGCACAAAGAGGCAGCTACCAGGCTTCCCAGCTCAACAGAGAAGAATTTCAGGCAGCACAAGTGACAGGCAGCCCTGGCTCCTCCTTGGAAGCGGGTGAGGGACTGGTGCAGCCACTTTCTGAAGGTGGCTTCTTCCTCCCAAGGATGTACCTACCCTGGCTGGAAGCTTGTGAAGGGAAATGAGTGCAGCCACAGAGCCGAGCAGCACGCACCTGCCCCAAGATGAAGGTGATGCCTCCAAACCCAGGACCACACAGGTAGGGGCTGGGAAGATGAGAAACAGGGCTGTAACTTACCAGAAATACCACAACCTCTGTATGGAGAGGGCACGTACGCAGCACCGGGAGCCGCAACAGTCCTCATAGGAACGGCATCTGTAGGAGAGAGAGCACTGAGGCATGGCCCTACACGCCAGGTCCAGAGACAACGGCAGAGATGGGCTGAGGCTTGTCACGCCCACACTGGTGACCCCAGAGGGGCTGAGATGCACAAATTCAGCGCCTCATTACACTGTGCCAGGTTGGCAGGTGGACTCCTGTATGGGGCACTGAGACAAGAGACCCAGCAATCTCCTGTGCTCAGTAAGCACCCTATCCTCTTGCATGGGGTTCATCAAGAACACCAGGGAACACACACCATCACCTTTTCCTAATGCTGTGACCCCTCAGTGCTGGCAGGGATGGGTTCCAGGCCCCCAAGATACCCCTGTTCCTGTTGAAAATGATGTGGTATCCCATGAAGTATACCCATCCTCCATATGCATCAACCTTAGATTACTCCTGACCCTAACAGTGCAAACACTAGGTAAGCTATTGGTATACTTGGTGACTGCACTGTCTGGTGAATAATGGCAAGAAGTGTACCTGTTCAGAACAGACACAACACTTCATTAATGTTGTTCATGGAATTAGGAGACAGCTGCCCTCAGCATGAGAACCCACAGCAATCATGTTCATTCCTGAAGAAAAGTTCACACTTGGGGGTCAGTGCTGTGATGCAGCACATTAAGCTGCTGCCTGTCATGCCAGTACCCCATATAAGACCCAGTTCGAGTCCCGGAACTCCACCTCTTCCAGCTTCCTGCCAATGCACCTGGGCAAGCAGCAGTATATGGCCCAAGAGCTTGGGGCCCTGCACTCATGTGGGACACCTAAGTGTACTTCCCGGCTCTTTGCAACCCTGGATGTTGCAGCCTTGAGGAGTAAACTAGCAGATGTAAATTCTCTCTCCCTGTCTGTCTCAGCATTTCTGCAACCACGCATTTCAAATAAAATAAATAAATCTTTAGAAAGCTCATATTTTGCGAAACTAAACAACAACAATAACAGCTTTTCAGGAAAATGGGTTTGGAGCATTCCACTCAAACCCTGTGCAACTTTGAACACACTGAGAAACAGTAAGCTAAGCAAGCTGCTTCCCACAGTTGGTGGAGATCTCAAAGCACATGTAAAACAAAAACAAAAAAGGGGAGAAAATTGTGCCTTAATTAGAGTGAGACTGGCAGGCACCAATATGGACCATAGAACAGAAAAATATAACCTGAGCTAATGGCCAGCAGGGCTGCAGGATGGTGATCACCTAGATTTTGCATGTGCAGCACATACATGCACACACACACAACGGCCATGGCTTCTCATCCTGCCCATGACTGTGCTAGAAAGTTTGGATGAACCAATGTAACTTTTGCTCCTATATACCAACCACCCAGAAGCTGATCTATGGGCCACATCACAGAATGCAGAGGCACTTAGACCACACCAGGGCCTGGTCTGGGCAGAATAGCACTGCTGGAAAAGAACCTGCTAGTCTGAATAGAGGTGGCCTTGAAACTGGAGTGGACAGCCCAATCTCCCACCTCTAAGTACTCCCCAGAGAAAGACAGGAACACAGGGTTAAGCCAATGGTGTAAATACTTACATGTAATATGTTGGATAAAGTCCTTCAAAATACCAGCAGTGTTTCTTAGCCTCTGAGCACTGTTAACACAAGCAAAGAAACGAAGTCAGAGCACAGAGCACACACTCAGCAGAGACCTCACAAACAGCAGGCAGGATCCACAACCCTTCCTCGTATCTTCTTACGTCTTAAAAGTTTGGTCAAAGGAAGCAGAATGTCTACTTTTCCAGAGCTTCACATCTTTAAATACACTGAGGGGCAGGCAGTGTGCCTGCACCCTGACCAACACCCCCATGTTCAATTCCCAGACCCAGTAGCCAATTCCAGCTTCCTGTTCTCACAGACCTGGAAGGATGTAATGATGCTTCAGTGGCTGAGCCTCTGCAACTGCAGCAAGAACTCCAGCCGGAGCACCTGCTGCCAGGTTTTCAGGCCCCTGATGCTGCAGGCATCTGGTAAATGAACCAAAAGATGGAAGTTCCCTTTCTTCTCTGTTTGCATCTGTCTGCCTCTCAAGTGAATTTTTTGATGTTAAAAAGAAAATGGATGGAAGTTCCTCCCTCCCTCTCCGTCCCTGTAACTCTGCCTCTCTAACAAACAAGTAATAAAATAAGTCTTACAAAAATTATATCCAGTAAAGAAAAATATTTAAAAATAGCCTTAGCATCTCATTAAAAAGGTAAATAAGATCACCCATTTATTAAAAATTTACAAGGCATGAATCATGTCAAAGTACTCTAAAAAGTTTGTAAGAAGGGCTGATGCTGTGGTATGGTGAGCAGAGCCGCCATTTGTAATGCCAGGATCCCAAAAGTGTCTTGGCTTCAGTCCCAGCTGCTGTCTTCCACTGCAACTCCCTGCTAATGCCTTGGGAAAGGAGATGACTAAGTGCCTGGGGCCCTGCACTGTTGTGGGAGATTGGTTCCGTTCTTGCCAGTGGGGCCCTTTTGGGGAATGAACTAACAGATGGAAGGCATCACTCTCTGAGGGAACAGAAGACACAGGAGTTTCCCCAGGAAATCCAGGGATTGGCCTGACAGAAGCAGAGCCCCAAGCCCAAGGGGCAAGGGCAGGGCTACAGAGAGGATAAGGAGTCAAGGTCACCAAGAGCTGGGCAGAAATGTTATGATGTGTCCAAAGAAGCCTTTTTCTAAGATAATGTGTAAGTAAAGTCCACACAACAGTTTGAGGTCTTGTCCAGAGCAGGAAGGGAGGTGGCCAGTCAGTTCTGTTCCTCCTACCACACTTCCAGAAGCACAGAGGGATTCCAAAGTGACCAGCCTTATTAGTAGAAAAGAGTTCATTTGGACCAGGCACATTCTTGCTCAATTCAAGAAATGAAATTCAGACAGTGCAAGAGATGTATGTATTTTAGTCAGAGCCATTTCAGGCCTCTGCCCCGTGATCCACTCCACTTCACCAGGCTCCTCTACTTCAGCTACTTCAGCTTCCTGTGGTGAATGAGAAACTAGGTCTTCCTTCCTTGAGACACCCAGTGCTTCTCTCCACCTCCTCTGAACAAGGCAGATCCAATTCAAGCTGCACACCATCTAGAATCTGTCCCCTGATACCACAGCCCAGGCCTGCAACATGAAGCCTCCTGCAGCCAGCACAGACACATGCAGGGAGGCTGCACACAGATGGCCTGGAAACAAATGCAGCCCCTACATCCATAGCAGCCCCTCCTTTGGAATCCCCCAATGCACAGAGCCCTGAGCCTCCACCTCGGACCCCCAGGGCAGTTTAGAAGAGTATCCCTTCCAGATGTGTCACTGCACAGTTTCTAGAACACTGCTTTTCAGATGAAGACACAAGAGCCTTAGGGGTGTCTTTCTTACCACAAAGTTTCCTGGAAGTGGCAAAATCAACCTCTCTCACACACAAATGCTGTACTGGGTACTCACTGAGCTCATCCCCAAGTTCCAGTGCTGTGGTGAGACTGCAATTCAGCAGGAAGGGATTGAGAGCCTGCCTGTTACAGGGTGGAAGCCTTGAGGTGGCACTGTTGAACCCCAAAACCTCATCTGCCCATGTGCAATGTGTGCACATGCATCCTTTAAAGCTATAAAAAGTGGTATGAGAAATTGGTGTTAAGGCACAGCAAGGTAGGCTACCCTCTGTGATATGGGCATCTCTGAGAGCTCCAGTTCAAGGTCCATCTGATCTGCTTCCAATCCAGCTCCCTGCTAATGTCCCAGGGAAGGCAGTAGAGATGGCCCAAGTTCTTGGGCTCCTCTCATCCCTGCAGGAGACTCACAAGGGGTTCCAGACTCCTAGCTTCAACATGGCTCAGCTTTGGGGAGTGAGCCAGTGGGAGACCTCTTTCTTTCTCTGTCACTACCTGCCACTTTGCCTTTCAAATACATAAAATAAAATTATAAAAATGAAAGGTGATATAAAAGCACTGAATTGCAGCTTTGGGGAAGGGAAGGAAATTTCAGTTTTCAGGGAAAGACTCATACAGTTTTCTCCAGTCATTTAAGATTTCTCTCCACACACATGAGCTCCATATGAACAGGGTAACACATGGCAGTGCCCCACACAGCACACACTACATACCACACAGCAACAAGAATGGAGACCCTGCAACTAACAGGAGATGATTTCCTGACACAGTGGTTAATAAAGCAAAGTAGCTGAAAGGCTACTTTGTAGTACATGTGGCTTTTAGTTTTTTTCAGGGAATTCCAGGAAATGGCAAGTAACAACTCATGGTTTTCTTCTGTGCAGGAGGTACAAGAAATAGGCATGAGAATGGATTTTTACAAATGCATCTTTAAATACAATCTGATATTTGAACAGAGTATCTTTCATATTCAAAAGAATGAAGTTAAAACAATTCCCAAAAATCCAACTTCTCTTCAGATTGAAAATATACCCTGGGGCTCAGTGCTGTGGCCTAGTGGCTAAAGTCCTCACTTTACATGAGCCAGGATCCCAAATGGGTGCCAATTCTAATCCCAGCAGCCCTGCCTCCCATCCAGCTCTCCGCTTGTGGCCTGGAAAAGCAGTTGAGGACTGCCAAAAGCCTTGGGACCCTGCACCCATGTGGGAGACCCAGAAGAGGATCTGGGCTCCTGGCTTTGGACCAGCGCAGCACCGACCGCTTCAGTCACTTGGGGAGTGAATCACTGGACGGAAGATCTCCCTCTCTGTCTCTCCTCTTCTCTGTATATATCTGACTTAGCAATAAAAAATAAATAAATATTTTTTTAAAAAAAAAGAAAGAAAGAAAATACACACTGGAGGAGCAAGACAGCAGTTGGGTCCCCAGTCACCCAGGACATCAGCCGCCGGGCACCTTTCTGCTCTCCTCTGACCTCCTGTATTTTCTGTCTGGCATTTTCTGGGAGATTCAGGAACTCCCTGAACCCAATGGCTGGAGACTCTTGCTCACAGTTATTTGCTAATGACCTTTTACCTTTTTTAGTAGGCCACGTGAAGCATATTTAGGAAACAGCAACCCCAGTGTGTTACATTATAAAAAATACCATTAAGACGTTATGGCTACATTTGAAACAGAAAAGAAACATCTGTTAAGCTACCTAACATTAAAGTATAGTTTCATTTCCCTGCTACTGAAATTACTGTAAGCTTGTCCAACAAAATGTTCCACCGCTTCCAACAGCTGCATCCCTGCAACAGCTTTCTTTATGCAGTGTCCACATCACAGCACTGCTTACACATCCCATAGCACGAAAGTTAGTGTCCATCTTCCCCACTGGACGGCAGGGTCATACATGTCGCTGACGTCTTGGTCCTCACTCCACAGCCACCTGCCAAATGAGGATGTGAGCATCCTAATCCTCTCTGATGCTGAGCCTTTGGACAGCAGTGCCAAGTCCGTGGCACACGGATCCAACAGGACAAGGCACCGTGCCAGGAATGCAGATTTGGTTTCACAGGGTAGAACCATTGGAAAACAACCAGGTTTGGATTGCTACAGCAAAGTGCACCAAGGAAGACATGCTGTGCCTCCCAAACCCAAGTCCAGCACAGACACCAGGATTCAGGGCAAAGACAGAGATCCAGAGCTGGGCTCATCCACAAAGGATATAGAAGGTGAAGAGGGGAACCTGCAGAGAACTCCCCAAAGCTGACGGGCTCACTCAAGGTGCATGGCCAACACAAAGGCAGAGAGAAGGTTCTGTGAACCTCCCACTGCAGGAAGCTCCTGAATCAGGGGCACAGACACCCCCAGAAGCAGCACAAAGAGAGGGACCAGAGAATGGTGATGCCACTTGCCAACCACATCACCAACTGACTTGGACTCGGTGTTTTTACTGCTGAGACAAAGAGGCTCTCTCCCTCATTTATTTTATTAAACTCTTTCAAAAAGAAAATGAGACTGAATATCCAAACTGCCCAGTCAGCTGGGAGCCTTCTTCACTGAAGCTCATCTCCAGGCAGCATCTCTGTCCCCCAGTATGAATCTGGAAGTGACCTCGTTCTCTGTACAGCTGATGTTCCGGGCTCATTTGTGATCACTGACCACCTAAGCAAAAGCAATGCTTTCACACCTCTTGAGAACAAAGCTTCTCAATACATACTGCCTTGTTTTGTTTCCAAAACATCCCCAAAGAGAACAAGCCTCTCTCCAAAACCTGTTCAAAATGAACATAACCTAAGAAGAAAAGCCAGATTCAGGATTTTGTTGCCCCACTAGCAAGTGAGCTTACTCTTCTTACAGAGACAAGGAGATACTGATAGTTGCTAGGAGAGGGCCCCTGTCCCTTGTTGCAGACCAGGCACCCAAGGCAGTGAGGGCGGCACACAGGATCTGGGCAAACAGCAGTCTCTCAGCATGCCCCAGTGTACAACACAAACAACAAAGCCAGCAGTCTGCGTCTAGAGATCAGAAGGGCTCATAACACAAGCTGCTAGCCAAGCAGGCCCGAGAAGCAGCTGCACTATCTATGATGTGAACTCAGGAGAAGCCCAGTGGTGATTATCCAAGGACAAGGACACCTGCAGGTCCAGCTAAGCCAGCCTAAACATAGCATCCACACTCAGCCAGGATGTAATAAGCACAGAAGCACAGATCCTTGCTGCTCACTGAGGTAATCCTCCAGTCACCATA